CCAACCTCGTTTCCATGGGTACGATCTTGCTGCGCCATTTTCTTTCCCATCATGCCTTGCGCGATCGTTAGTGAAGGAATGCGCACGCGCCAATGGAGTCGAGGCTGATACCTGACTGACTCTTGATTGACTGAGTCACCGAAAGACTGTCACTCTTGCTTAAGTCTCACCTTGGCACTCACGTATACATTGACACTCAAATGGAATTTGTGAAGTAGTCTGGTTACCATTAGTTACTACCAATAACACTGATTGACTCTCACGTGCGACTTAGACTGGATGCATTTCCATCACGTTAAGACTACAGCTCATTCTACGAAATGTTTAGCCATTCTAGATTGATTGAATATGTTGAAAGCTCTGTGGTTGGCTTCACCTTGCTTGCCCTAGTTAAGAATAATTCGCGTATCGGTATATGTGTTCCGTTCAAAGTACAGATGCGGTAAGTGGCCGTGGTCGTTGGGATTTGGTGAAGATGTATTTGTATGCTACGTATTAACCTTTACAAGGCTGTCTTTTTAGGCCCCTGGGAGTGTAAAAAAAATCGTTGAGTAGGCTTCAGTTTCTTTGCTTTAAATTAAAGCAGTCGAGGTTTGTGTCCATGCTAATAGACTGCTGGTTGTTCTAGTCCGTTCATTTGATGCATTGTCGTACATCTGTTGTTGTTGGTTAATGTTTAGTCTACTTGTAACAGATCTTCCTGAACTTCAGGATTGCCTCAGCCAATATTCGAATGCTATTTTTTTGTGACTGACTGGCTCTCTTCTTTGGACAATTTGCTCAACGATCTTTTGTTTAGCCTCTTCCTAAATTCAGATGCTTGCTCAGAAGTGTTAACATGTGTGATTTGTAACTAATGTACAGACTGCATCACCAGTGTGTTGCAAGACAAACTGGTGGTTGTGTTTTACTGCAGGAAATATGCCAATTGCATGGACAGAGCGCGTGCAACTATCTCCTGACTTTCTTTTTTACCTGGATTAGTCTGGCCAGCGACTCCCCTGTCTTTTTAAAATATCATATTCAGTTATAGATTAAATGGAAGGCGATGTGGGGTGCTGTGGTCCAATGGTTACTGTGTTCGACTCGTGTGCCGTGGTACATGGGTTCGAATCCTGACCGTGGGACATGGTGCTTGTGTTCTTGGGCACGACACTTTACTACGATTAACCTCTCTCCACCCAGTAGTATAATGGGTACCTGTGAAGGTAGAGACCAAATTGCGCTGATCTGGAGCTGCAGCAGAAAATATGGTCTTATTCCTGATGAACAGGGATAATTATTGTGTGGGGCATTTGATCATATTTATATGGGATTTGCGCCATATAAATGTATAAATAATTGATTATTATTATTAAGGAAAGAGTAGGTTGTTCACCAAATTGCACGATTTCAACAAGTAATGTATTTAATTCTTTTCTTCATTTACTAGCGATTTAGATGCATTGCAAATACTAGCCAGCTGATTCAACCATAGAGTATCATGTTCTCGGATCATGTAGCTGTTTTTAATTAAATATTTCGATTCTTATTATATCATATAACATTGCATTCTACTAAAGATATGAAAGATCAGTAACGAATCCAAATTCTGTAATTCATTGATATTATCAAGTATCCATGGCCAAAGCTTTGTTCGTTTAACATTATGCCTGATATATTATAGGATTCCTAAGAGGGAGTTATTCAAAATCGGTTCTCACATTCCAAGTGGGAATATTGTTCCCTGAGATATGATATCGTTGAATGTCATTTTTTTTAAAAGGCCTACTTTGAGTTGAGAACGCAATTTACAAAAGGTAAATATCCAGTGTCGTCCAAACGTTTCCTGTTTTCGGATAAACGTTTGTCGAGTAACGAGAACTATCCGTTTCAAGCAGGCTTCGCGTTGTCTGATTGATGGCGTAATGCAATTTACGGCAACGGCCGATATTGGATTATCGACCGACAGAACAACGCAAATAGTTAACCCGTCTCCCTCTAGAAAACAGCAACTAAAGACAAGATGTAGGTTGACCGAAAACCGAGGCATCTCTGAGCCCCCAAAAAAGTTTCGACCTTGGTTATGCATTAAACCTTGGGAGCGTGCGTCGTCTTTTAATTTGATAATTTTGTGCGCGTCTGTTTCGGGGAAGGCCGACATCATAGCCAGCTGATCCTCATCTGAGGAGCTGATGATTGTGCACGTGCGTGTACGTGCCTACATGCTGCACAAAAGGGGAAGTCGTTATTTTTATTTACAATAAAAAAGGAACAGATTCGGGACAGAGTTTTAGCAATGAGGCACATCTCACCTTACAATTGACGTTTGTATACAATCAGAACATAGACAAGTACCAAGCTACAGAAGGGGCGGACCCAGAATCAAATATTGTTTGGGGGGCAAAAGGGCTCATTTTTTTTCAAAAAGTGCAAGGGGATTAAGTAAGTATCATGCGCTTTTCCCACATTGTAATATAGATGGCTTGCAAAGAAGATACGCAACGTTTTAATTTATTTCCCGAAATTTAAGGAAAATAAGGCGTCTTAATTCACTTCTCCGATTAAAATGTATGTTTTTGTTTTTGTTTTTTGGGGGGCATGTCCCCGTTGCCCATCAAGCCCTATGGGTTTAATGTGGGGGGGGGGGAATCAATTATATCTGTTGGAAAAATTAAATACGTTTTAAAAGAATTCTTGGACCTAAATTGAAATTATTCCAGATCGTGCAACCGTACGTGACTTATTCTGAAATCCAGCAAAATGTAACCTTTCCAGGCATAGATTTACACCACAATCAATTCTGTTCATTTTTAACATCACTATGTTCCCGGCTTATGATTTAAGTAGTGTAATGGGAACAATGAATCGTTGAAAATGTATACGGAGGTAAATTGAACGGAGGAACGGGTACTTTCACGTAAACCGTAATTCGTTACGTTTACCACATATAATGAACGCACAAAATCGACCCCTTGCAACTGACGTCACGCCCGGGAACAGGACGTGGTTCCTCGGTGATCCACGGAAGTATTTTCATAGTGAGAGACAAAATGACACCAGTAGAATCCTTTGAAAACGAGAATGCTTGTGTTTCTATATTTATTTGTTTTGTGGGAAGCGAGCATGACTGTACCTCATTATTCACAGAGAGACGAAACATTATCATTCTTACCACCACACAACCATTTTGAAGGCACTTCGAAGTCGGATGCAAGCTTCCTCTGTCATTTGTAGACAGTAGCATTTACTAGCAACATATTGATTTAGAATCAATACTAGGTTCGTTCGTGGGACAAACTTAATTAGTGCTAAGAAATTGACCTCCGTCGCGGGAAAAGCCGGGACAGAATTTTGGGCCGCTGGTCGTTTCAGGGCTTACCCGCAATGCTCACATGGCTGACATTGAGAAAATACATCACCAACACTGGTCGTCTACACTTCGTGTAACAAAATATTGGTATTTCCAGGGGTGGCGGAACCGGGGTGGGGGGGGGGGACACTTGCCTCCCAGATTTACCCAAGTGCCCCTCTTGCGGAAATAAAAGTGTCCCCTCGAGCATCAATGTGCCCCTTCGAGATGTGAACAAAACCGGCCCTGCAATTTCAGAGTTCTTATATGAACGAGGAATGTGAAAACGTGAAATGTGAAAACAAAGCCCCAAAACTCTAACATAATATGCGTAGTTTGCATGATGGCCGGTTGTGAAAAGCACCCCCTATTTTTGAAGATGGTACCAGTCCCAGCCCCCCCCCCCCTTATTTGATTTTACAGGGGCAAAGTGTCCGGTGAAAAAAACGTGTCAACATTTCAGCACTTTGATGTGCCCTCAAAACATTTTTGGGGAGGGGAGGGAGACACAGTCTGAATTAAAGGAGGCGTTGCTTAGAAAATTCTCGAAAAGCCACTTGGCCAAATTAAGTTAGATATCCAAATTTGTGTGATATGTCTGAGCCTAGTCCCCAAATTAAAAACACGGATTTGAGGAGGTTTTATGTAAAAATCAATGCGTTCATCTGGTAGACAAATACCGTGGCATTGAGGGGGCGCCACAGTCGTAAATGTCCTCACATAATAAAGTCACGACTTAACCCCACATGACATTTATTCATCCGTATATAGTCATACTTACATACAGTTCAATTTCAGTGATGTCGTGAAAGTTCATAATATCGTGGAAGAGAAGTGCTTTGCAGGCAGTGTTTTCTCTGTCATTGAAACAGATTAGTCTACATGTATACGTAAAGAGTGCGAAGTTTTAATGCGATATAGACCACGCCGAGGTGCCCCCTTGTTTAATTACTTGATGACTTTCCACCATTGTGCCAGCTGGTGTTATTTTGTTATTTGGAATTTCGTTGGGCGCTCAGGCATTTTATGCTTACCTGTGAGCGTCACATGCAGTAATGACCACCAGCATATTTACCATTATTTCAAACTCGAGTTGAAGTGTGTAATTATTTACATCACAGTGACCATTTTATGGGAAATGCCTGTGTGCAGAGATCTATGCATGCAGTGAAATATGCGGGTATAATCATGTTCCATGCTGTGGTCGGCATATACAATCCCGGCCAAATCTCACTGGGCCACCCTCCCCCGGCTCCCGGTCACTGTTGTCTCTCATTGCACGGTCTGTGGTCCAGGCTGAAGATAACAACATTGACCGGGGGAGAGGGGGAGTGGGGGACCGGGGCAGGGAATGCCTGTTGTCACGTGTCCCAACCATTTTGGCCGGGATTGTAACTTACACCTATAGTAGATCGAGAGAGGTGAAAAGATCCTCCAGGAAGTCAACTTATTTCGGGCAAAGTCTATTTACTCAAATTTTAAGACTGGAAATTATTTCAGAGAAATGCAATTCGTAAGTATTTTCCCACAGCAATTTACTTACCTTTTGCTATTGTTATGGTGCTTAATTGAACAATTGAACCAAATGTTGGTCGAATATTTCAGTGAGCGGACGACTTTTGTTGTGTGACTTTACGGTGTGAATTATTACTTAATGTTCTCTCCGCAGAGGTGTGACGACGATTGATGTAGCGTTAAGCAGTCTAGATATCAACCAATGTCCCAATCTGAACGAGAACGGTACAGGAAACCAGAACGTCTTTGATCCGTTCGTGGACACTCACCTATGCAAAGACACAACTGAAGTGAGTATACCAGCGGTTACGGAGATGAGGGCGATTGCAACGATTTGACGCAACCAGTTAAGACTAGATATGACGAGCCAGTGAGACCTTTCTAATGGTACGCCATCTTGAAAATCAAAGTCAGGCATGGGTGTGTTCGAGTAGCTCACCCGGATCGACTCCGAGGGCAGACGGGTATAGCCACGACAGCCGGGATAATCGAACGCTAAACTGCGGGCCATCACGATCCTAAGGTGATACCTGTAGCCGTTGCCGTAGCCACTGACAAAACGCCCATTTCGCCGGACTGGGCCTTAGTTTGAGATTTACTGCTTTTCAGTCAGTTGCAAAAATAAAAAAAAAGTTGGGCTGGAATTATAGCCTCAAAAGTTGCAATGAACTCAATAGATGATTACCTTTAGACTTCAACTAAAGTCGTATTTTTAGGTCCACTTGAGATTTCTGCTGTCCGCCCGAGTCCGTTTCTTGGAATGAACAACGGATGCATGTGACGCATTTCCACGACTGTCTCTGCTCCACGAGCAGAGTCTGTGGTGGCTCAATAATATACATTTTGAGAAATTCATTGATTTTGAAGGTAAATGCCTTTAGCTTATTGGAGTTGTGATTATCCTCGTAATGCTGTCGTGTATACCAACGAGTCAAGACGTCTAACGTGGAAAACGTGTTACACTCTTAAAATACCGTGTCAGATTCGACCCAGAATCCGGGTCAGATTGGACCTGACACTCATATTAGTTATGGGTCAATTTTCGTTTAAAAAAAGACAATTTCTAGGTCATAATTACACGTTTTGGGTTTCGAAATGACATGTTTTTAGGATTTATGCCCAGGAAAAGTGACTCAGAGAAGTGTCATTTGACTCCTAAAAATATCAGGTCAAATCTGACCCGATTCTGGTCGAATCTGAGCCAGGACTTTTGAGCGTGTAGGTGACCAGTGTATAGGTGCATAACCTTTCAATCGGTGTATCATTTCACCACCTGAGATTGTTTTCGGGATGAATGTTATTGTTTGAATAGCTGCACAGAATCCTTCAACAACCTGATGTGCTTTTTTTTCATTGTGCGTGGCAACATTGAATGAGGTTTAGTCGTTCATCGCCGAACTCAGTGGCGTTTCTGTTTAAAGATGAAATTGGTTGCTCACGTATCGTGACTTTGAAGGTTGTCCGCCTGCAGGGTTGTGTAGAATTGCATTATCGGAACTAGAACACTCCGGATACAGATGTGACTTTGGTAATTTAAACTGATGGACTATTTTCTTCTCATCAATTTGTTCGCGTATTATGCGGCTGAGGTCTTTTCGCCCAGCCAGTACACGCCTCGAGCTCGACAGCAAAGATTCACGTAACCCCCCGGGGCTGCCGCCCGCATGGCTTCATGAGATTTTTTTCGGCAAATAATCAAATCACACAAGATGGAAGAAATATAGGTATCTGTTTGTAACTCCATTATAAGGTCAGAATAATGCAAATGGAGGAATGGAATCTTTTGTGTAGGAAATTCATTAATCATTTCAAAGTCAGTGCGCTTAACTTTCGCGGAAATCATTAATTTTTCCCTTTTCTGTGTTATAATTTTTTTTTTGGGGGGGGGGTTTCAATGAATGAAGATTATTTTCTCCGTAGCTGTAGATTGTGTGTTTTTTTTTCAAAGGGAAGTATTTTAAAACCTTATATTAAAAACTTATATAGCGCCTTCCATATATAAAAAACTCTCATATATAAAAACCACAAAGCATTGTACAAAAGATAACACCAAAGTACATAAATATAAATATCAATATCAAAATAAAAACAAGTTAAATGTAATCAAAATAAGACATCATAATGTACATCATACAAAAAACAAACATGAAAGCTGAAAGGAAACTTCAAGATATCAAAATAACCAAGATATTAAAATATTAATATGCATTGTAAATAAGTCAAACAAGATTTCCAAAACCGGATCAAACGAATAAATGATAATAGTAACACATAATTGCATCAACAACCAAAACAATGCTAAAATCATATAAACAAAACATAAACAAAAAGATACAAAACTAAAAATCGTCACCCAACTTAATAAAAGTGGTCAATAACTCAAAATTATTGTTACAAAATACAAATCACACGAAAGATTCCACAAGCAAACGAGAAGTATCACAACAGTATCACAATTACCTCGAAACCAGAAACATAACTGACATGAACATAACTAGTAAAAAACAGTAATATTTACAATAAAGTCACAACGCACAAAATTCCACAATCAATCAAAAATACAAAACAACAAAAAAGATATCAACATTGTAAATCACAAAATCAAATCAAAACATAGAGATAAATGTCATTAAAAAATCTATCCGGTTATTGGTGCAGAAAACATCGATAAATGCTAATTTGAACTAGCTTGTCTTCTTTCCTTCTTTTCTCCATCTTCAGTGCAAGGCCATTGCAGGGCTGGGCTTCCAGAGGGGTGCCTACAAGTGCATCTGTCTGAAGGGGTACTACTTCCCGGACACGTCGAACCCCCACAAAGCGTTCAACGGGTCTGCGATAGAATACGAGTACAGTAAGAAAGTACACGGGCATGAAAATACTTACGACAGGTATGTAAAATCGTTTTTAATTTTCAATGTATATTAAACCTGCTGAAAAATTAAACCGGATTAGCCATCGCGTGATACTTGTGACTGCCCTGGTGTTTTGGTGTCAACCACCAGTGCCCCAGCTCGCAAGCGGGTCTCTCTTGTGGCTGCCCGGGTGAAATGACGTATTCGGACGATTTCGTGGCTAGCTAGACTGAAGATGGCTGGAATTTGAATACGAACTAAGTACAATGGAGCGATTTATTACACGAATATTCCCAATTATTAACGGTATTCAATTGGATTATGTTTGATAACTTCAGAGCATATCCTCCGATTTCAGCAGTTATTGATCTGGTTACATTGATAAAACTAAATAGCAGACGACAGTATGCCTTCTGGTGTGTTTACTTTTTAAAGTTCCGGTGTCATATGAAAATCGGACTCGTATGAAACTCGGACTCTTTTTCCCTTTTATTGGTTAAACCCTCTCACGTGACCGGTCCTCTCCTAATAATTATCTATGCATGAACATGCACAATACGACCAATGAGTCCGTATTTCATAAAACGTAAATTCATGCTACACCGGCCCAAAACCGATCTTTGACCTTATTCCCAGAATGCCAAGCGAATACACCGAAGCGTTCGATTTGCCTCATTTCGTGGCTTCCTCGGGTGTAAACCCCGTATATACACGAGGAAGCTAATCGAACGCAGCCACTGACTGTCACCTGTGAATAAGACTGGTTAACCTATACCACAGACCGACTGTCACTCGCTTGCACTGGTCTGGAGCATTTTACAAGGCTCGCCTATTAATTCATGTACGTCATTTAATGTCTACACCGCATGTGCGTTAGTCTGGTGTCGCTTGTTTATGATGTGCGTTCATGGTACCAAGGGCGGATCCAGAACACAATTTTGGGAGGGGCCAAAAAAAATTTTTGGACCCCCCAAAAAGTGGGTCAAAAAAATTACGGCGTGGGGTTCGGGGCCCGCTTAAGGGCCCCGAAAAATTTTTGGATTCTAGATGCTCTGTGGTGCGATCTGAGGCAATTTCTGACCACTTTAACCAATTTTTTTTTGAGGAAAAGATGGTGGTGTACTCATTGCCTGCCTCTATTGCGATGTCACATAAAAAAAAAAAAAAATTGGTTTCGTTTTTGGGGGGGGCCATGGCCCCCTTTGGCCCCCCCCTGGATCCGCCCTTGCATGGTACATGAAGTCAAGTCTCCATGCGAACGGCGAAAGTGACTTTTTCATTTCCAACACGTTACCACTACAGCTTTTTCTACGATTCAATTTCTATTCTGAATCAATTGAATAGAATTGTGCGCACTTTGGGGCCAGCTTTACTAGACTTGCCCAGTCTTGTTAAAGATCTGTCAGCTTATTCCCGAGTGAAGTGGGTTTTTTTCATCTAAAGTGGTATTTTGGACTTCGTTTTGAGGTGACATCCTACCCCGAGAATTAATTTCTTTCAATTGCCTCCATAAAAAAGTAACGGAGAGTTGTCTGCAATATCTCAGTCAGCGTTCACAGCTACGCTTGCTTAATGAGGTTCAAGCCGTGAGCTGGATTGAATTACTGCAGTTAATCTGTCAGGAGTGCTCAGATGAGTACAACACCTTGCCTGAAATATTCGTCCTAATCGGGGTAACTATTTGTCTTTCTAACATCACTGGCGGATGCGGAGTTAAGTTGGGTGCAGCGTGGGCTATGCCTTCCGACAACTGTGTTTTTTCCATGGCAAATATACCAGAAGAGAAGTGAAGACGTCTGTTATTTAAATCGATGATATTTTGTACCTTTACAGATTTGTGAAATATTAATAAAAGAGGGATGAGTAAAACAGATAAATAACAGATAAAGTCCCAACACCACCCTACCCTGCACCCAAATGGTTACCTGCTCCGCCCTTGTACGAGACACAGGGACAACAATTTTTGATGGCATGATGATGGTTCAAAGGAATGACAAGAACTGATGTTTCAAATACCTCGCCTTTCTGAATCACTATTTCTCCAAAACCCGCGCTGAGAATTATTGACCAAAATATCTCGCAGTCTTCCGTTGTCGTGTTACGGAAGTATGCACCATAACAACCCCAGCCCATTCTATTTGAATACCCTTGCGAGTTCTCCACTAAAATCATTATGTTCTCTCTGACATCCCCACTAAAAATTAAATGCATTCCCGATGGACTTCTCAATGCATTAATGCCCAAGCTCGCGCTCAATTTATTAGCAAAAAGGTTGGAGTGAAGACATTCATTCAAGGGAAACACTGGGTTGCCGGCGAATTAATTTTCATTCTTCAAGCGGAATGGATGCACGCGTCCCTATACATCATGCGAATATGCCTCCTTCGCTTAACAGCGAAGGTGATGAATTACTTTGAAGAGGCTATTGTGAAGATATGTACCCTAGCGCATACCATATGATATATTGTACATTTTTCTCATTGTGGACCATGTCACCAAAAATATTCACCGTATATGACGTCATGAATGTGAAGAGCTTATGAAATGAAATATTGCACTAAAGAACGGAACATCATAACGGTGCGTTACCGGCTGAGCTATTTCGGCATTCTCTCAATTAATCAATATCTTTGTTCCAAGGGGCGATCGTCGGGAGCCATAACTCACGTCATGTGTTATTGCATGGATCACGCTAAATGATAGTCACGAGTGTAATAACATTAGCAATGCACAAAGCTGAAAATGGCAAACTCAGGAATTACTCAAAGGGAATACGGCTTTGTATCATGCGATTCATTTGCTAAAGAATGCTTGCACTTCAGTTACTGCGCTTATATTTTGACAACTCATCAGTTTATCAAATATTCCTTTGTGCTAAGTAAACGTTTGCACAATTTTCAGGCATACAAGTGAAATACGTGATGGTGATTAAAATTGATAGATGGTAGATGAGCTCTGAAAAAAAATAGCCTTTATTCAAGTCCCACGCGCCTATACCCGGACCATCCGGACACGTAACTCACCCCGGATGCTGGCACGTAAAAAGACTAGCGTTTACTATCTCGTGGAACTAATCACTTATTCATTTATTCACGTAATATAAATCAAGCAATATAAACCAATCATCTAACGGTGGTTTGTGGTTACCAGCAACAGCACGGGCGCCATGACGCCAGACGACGGCAGATTTACGTTAGTAATTCTGCATTTTCATTGGTCAATTCACAACGGGTAATGCATTATGCATGTCTACCAAATCGGTTGACAAATGTAAAGAAAAACATTAGCGTTCTCCACGAGATGGTAAAGGCCCTCGCGGCTTCGCCGCTCGTGCTAGTCTTTTTACGTGTCAGCATCCAGGGTGCGTCACGTGTCCGGGTAAGCGCGGGGGACTTGACTAAAGGCTATGAAAAAAGTGATAGCCTCCCAACTAGGCATGTTTGGCACTGTAGTCAGACATGTCACTATTCCTATTTTCATGGGAAATTTTGTTTTATAAGAAGTTGTTTTGTGAGAAGCGGCGCGGGGGGGGGGGGGCAGTGCACTTAGGGGCCTAATTTTCTGGAAAGGGTACTCCATTAATTCGGAGGGGAGGTAGGGGGGGGGGGCGTCCCATTGTTCCCCACCCAATTCTGGAGGGACTGGTGTTCCCTAACATGACGCACTCATGGTCGTCGCGAGGGGTGGGGGTCAAGGAGGGCTCCCCCCCCCCCAACAAGCCCCCCCCCCCCCCAAAAAAAAGAGGGGGGGGGGAAGGAAAAAGAACAAGAGGTGCGAAATCATATTGTTGTTAATTTAATGGGTTGGGTTGGGGTGGGGTAAATGTCCCTGCCCACCCTCGAAAATTAATAATCAGTCGGGAAAATGCTGGAAAATGGGCTTTGCCCCCCTCTAGAAAAAATCCTGGCGACGCCCATGACTTCGGCGTTTCCCCCGACTTTCCTCATGCAATGTTGCCAAACCTCTTTGTTGACAAACTTAAAATTCATTCAGTTAAAAACAGGTACTTTTTACCTAGAAATACTTGCTGTTTAACCTTTGTAAACGATTTCAGTGTCATGAAATTAAGTCCGACATTCAAAAACGGTGGCGTCCGGAAATTGAGCACAGAATCGGCTGGTTGTTCCCTAACGTGGCGCATTGGAATAAATCTCAGAAAATCCCAAATTAACATTTAAGACTGTACACTCGCTGTACACTCCAAAATACAATCGGAAAATCACGCCAAGATAAATTTCTCTGCTAACTTTGCATGTAACGGGTAGATGCACTCACGATTTATGAACAGGAATTTTTAGAGCTTGATGAAATATGACTTACTGTGAAATTTCAGGTAAAAAGTTTGCTCTAGCAAGGCGCTAGAGGCGAAAACTCAAAGTGCGCCACGTTAGGGGCCGCGCCACGTTAGGGTACATCAACAATACTTGTACACTTAGGCCTACATATTTTAATCATTCCCCCTTTTTCCAGAGATATATTTTTCCTTTCTCTTTTATTCGTGCAACAGTGATTTTAATTGCCTAAAATGCAAGAAGGAATGCGACGACTGTGTGGATGACACGCCGTGTTTCCTGGAGCCCTCTTCCCTGCTGTCATACGCCGTTCTCGGTCTGACGGGGGCGTGTGTTCTGGTGTTGCTGGTCCTACTCGTCTATACCTGGATAAATCGCGAGAACAAGGTGGGTCATCACGAGTCTGCTCACCCCAGTGACGTAACTAGGCTCCAATATGGGGGAGGGGTGTTACTTAGGGGACGCATGTTCTGGATAAGGCACTCAAAATTCAGAGCCAGGGAGGCCACCAATTCCCCTCCCAACTTTGTTGTTCCAATTCAATGGTCTCAAGCTAAAATTAGTTGTCGAACGATGTCTCCTCTCTTGTTTCCGAAAAGTGAAAATACACTCCATTCGAGTGAAGATGCACTCCCACCAACATGAAACTAGGGACTAGATGATTTAGATTGACACTCATTCATCGAATAGTTTTCACTCGAGTTTCCACCAGATTGATTTAGTTTCCAGATTATTTCAATCTATGACTTAGGTTGATTTTGACTCTAAATCGTCTATTCTGAAGAAGTGTTACTCGTCGGAAATTAAAGTGTTGTAAACATTTAGACACCACTTTTCTACTACTCTTCATGTTGCAATAACACCCAGAGTGAAACCCTTCTTTGATTACACCCATTTAAAGTTGCATTTTTGTGAGTCATCAAACAAAAAATAGATTCTTTTCAAAATTGCTATTTTTCTAGAAATATAAAACTTTTCACTTCTGAATTGGACATCGACTGAATCATTACATTGAATCATTACAAATTTAAAATTACTTGCCACCGGACAACAATTCCGTTCTCTCGATCGCGAGAATAGGCTGGTTCCCGCCCCACAATCGGTATCAAATGTACGGATCTGCAACCAGTCTGCTCGAAAAGCAGATTTGTTTGCGCCGAAATAATAAAACCTTTTACAGAGGGTTGCAGACGCCCAAAAAGAAAAATTTGGTCAGAATAAAACAGTCAAGTTGAAAAGTCATTTAGAGAAAAAGAGTCGAATTTGTTCAAAAGCAGGGGAACGCAATATTGCGGTACTTATTATAAAAATAGTCAACGAATCTGCCATTCGATCAACCACATACGCTGAGAATTTAGTAACAACAGATTCCCGATTCATCCTTAACCTAAGTAACAAAATACTTAGTTCCATCACTGATTACGGAAAATAATCCGTAATTTTGTCTAGAACAAAAATCCATTCAATTCATTTTGTTTTGAAATTATAGAAGCATGATGTTCCGAATGGATGGTTCCTCTTAGTTCCTCGTTCCTCAACTATACGTGATGCTAGGAGATCAGCTTATTGCTTCAATTTGCAACATACTTTTTCAGGATATCACCAAAACAAAGAAAAACCACAACATATCAAACAAACAAAAAAACGTTATATCTTGTGTAAACCTCAGTAATTCTTCGGAGATTGCACCGTATGTGAAAGCTCTGTATGCAACGTGTCTGAGACATTTCATCCCGTGCACTTGGCTTAGTCAGCGAATCTCAAAATGTAAAATGCAAGCCGCTAATGGCTGGCATCTCCGCCGTGCCAATCAGCGAAACCGGAGGTCCTCGTAAGAACTCCGGATTAAGTGATTAAGAATCCTTGAAGCAAAAGCCAATCCAGATGGTTTTTCGAGCTTTTAATTTAAAGATGTGTGCCCCGTGCTTCTCTTGATTTTGGGCGTCTTCAACCATTTGAAAAGGGGCTTTCATACAAATTGACCCGCGAGAGCCAAGCTATTGTCGGGCCGCAACTGCTTCGAATTTTGTAAAGAAATAATCCAATAATTAAACGTCGGTGGATTATTTTTGTTCGTTCGATGTCTCATTCAAAACCGAGTAACTTTTATATTGCTAGAAAAATAGCAATGAAAACAAAACATCTAGGGGGATGAACTCGAGGTATAACACTGGAAATGCATCAATAAATTCGATTTTTTTTTTGACCGGGTATATTTTGCGAGTTTGGAGAATCAATATTCATAAGCCGATGTTAAAATAACAAGTGCAAGTGCACAATAAGCTCTGGCCGTCTTGCATGGAATTCTTGCATGAAGAACTAGTCTGCTATAAAATAGTGTCCAACTGAAAAATAACACTTCTAGGGGGAAAATCGAAAACTGTTGGGGAAAGAAGTGGACATCTTGATTGGAATCGATCCAAGAACCTTCTTACTGCGAACCTTAAGCCACTGCGCCATTAATTGGGTGTTGCTTGCATGGTTGGCCCGGTGAATTGGTGTACTACATTGAGTATGCGTGTAAAGAAGGTATACGCATGGGAGTAAAATGAATCGTTTGAAGTCGCCTAAACATTGATTACACCAGACTGTTGTGTAACAAAATGAACATAAGCTGTGGCCGTCTTGCATAAAAGTCTTGCATGAAATGATTGTGTGTACGTACCGCCGCGCAACACCGTACTTTTGGTCAATTGTCATTTCCTCCTTCTGGATACCGTCCACCCACTACACAAAATACCACGTGACTATAACATACTGCACATATCTTGCCTCCGTTTACAAAATTTTCATAAACAAATTTACGATTTGTTAGTCATAATTTTATAGTGCATTTACTGACGGCACGGTATTTGACCAATTTTGGTAAAATATTTGTGGTCAATAATAATTTTTGGTCAATTTTCGGGGTCCGCTCATAAATCCGACGCCTCATAGGGCCGACGCCTCATAAGTCCGAAATTTCGGACTTATGAGGCGTCGGACTTATGAGGCGTCGGACTTTTGAAGCATGACATTTATTTATTCCGCCTCATAGGTCCGACGCCTCATAAGTCCGACGCCTCATAAGTCCGACAATGGACAAACGCTGTTTCGGACTTATGAGGCGTCGGACTTATGAGGCGTCGGACTTTTGAAGCATGACATTTATTTATTCCGCCTCATAGGTCCGACGTCTCATAAGTCCGAAACAGCGTTTGTCCATTGTCGGACTTATGAGGCGTCGGACTTATGAGGCGTCGGACCTATGAGGCGGATTTATGCCTCATAAGTCTGACGCCTCATAAGTCCGACGCCTCATAAGTCCGAATTTATGAGGCGTCGGACCATGATGAGGCGTTGGACTTATGATACGGCCCCCAATTTCGGGGACCGACCGACCGACTAACCAATAAGTGATGTAGAAGCTGCTGCCAGAGCTGAAAAAAACGTCTTATTTACAAAAAAAGGCGAAATATATTTTTCGCGCTTAATGTCAATGTTTGCCGAAAAACGTTTATGCGCTCTCGTTTAGACTGTGCAATTAAGAAAGACAACACGTTGAATGGAATGAGAACTTAACCCCGAACTAACGTTAATTAGTATACTCATTTGTATGACATTTAGGCCTATATGAAGCAGGCAGTAAATGGGGCATGCCGAATGGGGTGCAATATCGATGTTTGCCCGGTACAAAGTAACAGTTAATTAATGTCAGTTTAGTCGGAGTCTCAAATGTATTGGCCTATATTACATTTGTTTGCTGCTGTAAAACGAGTCTATGCAAACAATCTCCGATGACGTTTCGTTATCAGCGTGTAAACCAAACAGGAATTCCCTTGATTGTGTTGCATAAACAACATATACCGTTTTACGGATACTGCCATCTTTGTGGTCATGTGTAATTATACTGAAGCATTTCATTTGGAAACAAAATATCCCATCTTGCTCAGGATACAGTGGCACGACGAGACGTGTTTTTAACGAAAGCCCCCTGAGAATACCACGCGTGGCCACATACAATGGTGGCATCCGTTAAACGGTCCATGGACGAAAATAAAATAGGCCAATTTGGCATTGTATTAACTGCACCTAATTTCTAGACATCAAAGTTTTACGATTTTTCCCTTCGCGGTAAACCGTGACAGCGGATAACTACACACAATGTTTTGTGGGCAAAGGAAAACCGAATCCGCAATCTACAATATCTCAAGCAATGAGAATATGGAAATAATACATTTCATTCATAAGTTTGAACATGATGCAGTCAACAGTTCATAAATATTGCCTGTACAGGTGTAGTATACTTATAATACTTGTAAGATACCTTTGCACGCAAGGGCTACCAAGGGCCCGAAGAAGTCTTGGTTAAAGACTGAATTTGGATGTTGTTCCTCTAATTCAGTCAGTTACTGACAAGCGCAGTCGAGTTACTGCGGCTGTAGAGAGCGCTAACAACAACAGATGAATCAAATCAAGTCTTGGGAATATTGACACCGGTACCCAGAGAATTCCGAGAAGACCTCGCGTGTGCTGTGTTCAAGCTTAAAGCATGGGCTTCGGTGTCAATAATTTCCAAGACTGTAATTTGATTCATCTGGGTGGTAGCGCCCTCTGCCGCCGCGGAGGATTGATCTTGCTGCCAGGGATTGCCTGTGTAAGGGGAAACAATCCAATACTTGGATCAAGACTAGGTCAGAAGTGAACATCATCAAATCTCGATGTGTTCACAAACATAAACTTTGGCTATTAATTACGACATGGTGTAGAATTTTCAAACAATGACTCCTGAGTTTCTTCGTTTATTTCTGTGTACAGGTATTCAAAGCTGCAAGTCCCGGTCTGCTGTACGTCTTTATCATTGGCTCGGCTGTTATGTATACGGAGGTTAGTATTGATAACACAATGCACGTGTCCGACTAAAAACCATTATCTAGATTTTGCTAATTGTCTTTCACTTATGATATGATATTAACTTCCTATTACACCGTCATAGTTGTATAGGGAAAGTCGAAGGTGGGAATTGTGCCACGGCTTGGTTGAACCATTCAAGTTTACCGTAACACCTGGTGGCCATAATGACATGCCAACAGTACTGTCTGTCCAGAATAAACAACAGTGTACCTTGCACAGGCCAGTACGGTACTCTCTCCCCCCCCCCCCAAAAAAAGTTTTCTCAACGATTTTGCAATTTGTATATGTTGTTTTAACGAAAAAACTACTTTCTTCCAATTTTGACCATCTTCAACCCTCTGAAAAGGGGCCCAAGTTTATTTTGCGCACAAATGAACCCGCCCTGCGACAGCCGAAGGATTGTCTGGCGGCCAATAAATCGAATTTTGTAAATAATAATAATAATATGGGTGAAACTTGAAAATAGCATGGGGAATGCGTCTTTAATAGCGTAAACCGTTTGGCTGTATTATAAATCGAAGCCTCAAAACGCGAGATTGTTGCTTCCTGTAGGCGATTAACCAAGGATAAATGGAAAAACTTTAGTTGCATGTGCTAATATAAAAAGGGCCACATGAAAAAGAATGTAAATGATATCGCGTCATACATGCTGCATTTTGCTTCAACAAACAATTTAATGTCATGTATTTCGTATAGCATCTTACCACATCTTTTATAAGTACCGCGTGTGTGTTCAGAGCAATGGAAAATCTTAAAGAAAAAGAACAGGATTGTGTAACAGATGTCGTTTATCTCACATGCTTCAAAGTTATTCCGAGACAAAATTGACTGCAAAGAGTGAACACAAATTGCTGCTGTGTTTGCTTAGGGATCAAGAACAGAGGCAAAGTCCAGGAATCTGTCTATAGGCAAGGATTGCATGCTTGTGAAGTGTGACAAATGTCTTATTTGTAAGGATCCCTTCTTATAAACCCTCCTGGTGAATGTGATTTGTCGATGTCAAATGAAATAAAGGAACGGGCCAGAATACCGACAAAGTGCGCGCATGAAAAGCTTCTTTTTTTCTTGTTTTCAGCAATGATGACATACAATGTTTTCAAGTGGTGATCATAACATTTGTTGTACATCAGCGCGATACTCGTGCTGCCATCTCGTTTCTCTACTTATTAACTAACAAAATACAAACCGCTTGAGTGTCATGATCAAAGTTTGAATACATCTTCCTGGTCTGTAGAGCGCGGGCAGATAGACGAATGAAGTCGTAATTTCCTGGATGAAACCGTCAGTATCCGAGTAATTAACTGTGGCGTAGCGACCGTGTAAGAGGGATTCGTAGTCCAATTCACTATACAAAAAGCCCTTAAAAGAACACAAGAGGAAAACGAAGGACACGAGCAAATAATACACTACTCTTTGTAAAGGATAAGTTATCAACAAACGGAAATTACGCATACGTGCACACACGCTGTGAGTTTCAGCAATGAATACCTCTTGGGCGCGATGAACGATTTAGGGTCTAAGACTTGAAGGTTTGCCTGGTGGAGAGTCTAAGATGTGAGGCTTGTGTGAGCACCAAGCTGTCAAATGTCTTCTTCTTTCTTACTTTGTGTAGTTCGGAAAAGGACCAGTTTGGTAACTCGACGTTTTTCTGACAGTACGCTACGGTCTGTCCGTCTTTTTCAGAACCACACAAAATCACAAAACAGATTTGACTATGGTGCTACCGCCACAGAGTTGTAATGATTCTAGTTTATGCCTCGACTCGAGTCCGACTCGAGTCACATTTTTTTGGCGACTAGACTCGACTCGAGTTCCAACGGGTAAAAGCATCGACTCGACTCGAGTCACTGCGAGCAAATGACTCGACTCGACTCGACTTGAGTCCCTCATTCTCGAGTCACAAAATTTCAGTGACTCGTTACAAGCGTAACATTTGATTGCAGGCCTGTGAACAAAATAAAGAGATGGGTTAAGGGAACAACTTTAACACGGAACACGCATTCAACCTTGATAAACTTTGTTTCAGAAGCCTTCTTTGTGTAAAAACGATTTCATTGTTGATATTAACAAGAAAGACTTAAGGCGCTTTATTGACACCAAAAAAATGTTAACCCCCCAAAAAATTATCGAAGCAGTTTCCCATTGTTTTAAGGCCGGTTCGTACCTCATTCGAATGTTGGGTGCGAAGCAAATTCTTTAAGGTGACGGCGAAACTCACAATGAAACTTCCATCAGTGACGTCATGAAATTCGCTTTGCAGTTTCACTTCCGCGTGAAGTATGAACCGGGTCCCCAAACTATCAGGTATTTATTCTAATAATATCTAGATGAATTTTTTCCTTTGTCCTTAGAATATTTTGCACGCAGCTCTGAGGGGAACGGAGCTAGGATCCTGGTACTGTCTTTTACAGCCCTGGGCTCGGTACCTCGGTATAGCGTTAGCCTATGGCGCCTTACTCTTCAAAACATGGAGGTAAGACAAGCAAGATCATGGTATGGAGCTGGCAAGTTAACTTTAAAATGTTTCTCGAGAATTGACGCGCACATCGCATTAAATGTGTCTACAACGCGTGCAACGTCCTATATCTTTTGATTTATTTTGTTTTCTTAATGAATTTGATGATTGATCGCTTAAGGGCAATACAATTCTGTGGAAAACAAATACAATGTACACAATTTTGAAATTTAATTGAAATGAAAAAAAGAATTTGACCTCAACTCCAGGTCAGTCAATCATGCACATTACCATTGGGTAAAAGACACATCGTTTTTGTCGGCAAAATCGTCGGCCTGTTGGCAAAAATATGTCTGTCGCAAAATATACCGTAACCAATAGCGCCACTTATTGTCCGCTAATATGGAAGATCGTCCGCTTTGAACAGTGCCACAAAAAGTGAGATGGTATAGCCGTCCACCCCACCACCACCCCCACTCCCACCCCCACCCCCACCCCCATCCTCCACCCCTCACTTTTTTATTTTTCAGCGGCCGGGTGAACGGAAACATTCCTACCTTCCAGCACGGAGGGCCTGCCTGTAACTTTGTTGTAACACCTCCGACCACTTTAAATATTTGTCTGGTGACGCCCCTGGTAATGCCGCGAGGTCTGGTTCAACAAAACGAGATGACGTTTACTTTAAGATTATGCATTTATTGAAGAGACCTGGATCAAGGATACGGTTCGGCGTGGAGAAAAGGGAAAAGTGGTAAATTCCTATCCAAAGACAAAACATTATGCTGTGCCGTCTGTGTTGAAAACAAACACTGCAGTCACGCTTTCGTTCTTGATGGAATTCGCTCTTCAAATTTACTGTTCACTAGACGTGCTGATTTCATCAACATTTCCGACCCAAATCTCATTACTAGAACAAACACGTGAGTTTAAATGGCATTCTCCGAGTGCACACGTTTTCTCACTTCCCACAAGGGCGTGCATTAAAGAAAAACTTGACATAATGTGATTAACACATAAACTCCAAGTCTTCAAATTGCATTAGCTGCACGACACATTTTCTGCGCTTTGTGACGTATTTTCTCTTCCTATCTTACAATGTGAGGTAACGCAGATATGTTTTGGTGGTCGCCTCCGAATCAACGTTTTATAATGCAGTCAAACAGAAAATATATTGACTAAAATAATTTTGATCAAATCTGGTCACAAAACTTGATTGGCTTGTTAGTGGTCGTGCATAATCTCTACTGAATCCGTCGGCCTTTGTTGCTATTTCTCAACAACATTTAACACGAGATTCTCGGAATCTCTTATACACTGTTGAAGCCGTGGAAGAGTGATATCCGAGAACAATTCGACGGGGCAAACAAATATTATGAAGCTTCAGGCAATATTGGCACTGAGGTAAATTGTTGGCGCACATAGCCGTAGACGTCCCCCTCCCCAAAAAAATATTGCGGGAAATGTCTCCGTGGTTCTCCCCCGCCCCCCCCCCCCCCCCGGATCACCATCCATAGGTCGAAATAAGTTGTGTTCGGTCCTCTAGTGATAATATGCAGTGCACATTACGTATAGCAAAGTTAGACAATTTGGTTTGTGCCACCATTTCCCTTTGCAAGTTTTCTTCCTGATCGTTTCTTGCATAACTCCATTATAAATTGACATTGACCGTCAATGCGTCATCGTCTTCAGCCATTTCGGTCTTGAATTTCTGAGGCATGCCCTCTCAAAGAAATTGTATCGTCTCAAAAAAAAAGTATGCAAATTCTCACAAGATTTACAGCCAAAACAAAAACACACGCCCCAAAAAACAACCCAAACAGGTCGATGCATGCGCAACGTTTACCAATTGAATCCCGTGTCATCCTCTAGAGGGCAGTACACAGGGTTATTGTACGCCAAGACTTTCCACAATAATTTTGACTCGTTTATTGCTGGAAATCTCCAATCTTTGGCCTTACAAGAGATAAGTCGATGATACTTTCGCACACAATAAAGTTGCTGTCAGTCCGGTGGATCTCAAACCAGGAACCCTAAGCTGAGGCCTCAGGCCGAGGCAACGCCGGAGCCAAAAAAGAAGAACCTTTTTACGACTTTCAATATTGAGTTTTTGCCACCGACTCTTTACAGGATCACAGTGGTTTTCACTGTGCGGAGTGCCAAGCCCGTCCGTATCACGGACAACCAGCTGTACCTGCGCATTGGCGCGCTCGTTATTGCAATGGTGCTCTTCCTTGGGATCGGGACGTATCTCCAGCCGTCTTATGAGGCGACTCGGCTCACGTCCGACAACCTCAAGTACAAGCAGTGCACTACCACGCTCTGGAGTTACATCGGAGAAGGAGGTCAGTTTTTTTGTATGTATAAACAATCTTGAATAAATTACTTTGCCAAATACTAATCTTTCCCGAAACCTACAAACTTTGAAGAATAAATTATGCTCTTTTAAAAATAAAATACAAGACGAAAGCAGAACTTTGTTGTCCTGATTCAGGGGCCACCTTTATTACTGGCCCATTTTAAACACAAGGTGGTGTTTAAACAGTACAATAAAACCAACAACTTGATGGACCCTCAACCAAAGAAATGGATAAACTCTCCCAGGTGTTTATGAATATAGGTTATGGAATGGAGACTGTTAAGACGTTGGTGACAACAAACACAGCGGTCCTTTTCGATTGTTTACGTTAAGCTAAAGGGCGCATGCTCAATAAGACGCAAGCAATAGAAAAAGGATCGGTGTGTTTGCTGCCGCCAACGTCCAAAAAGTTTCGCGAAAATATAGCGAAATGTGAACCGACCCCAAGTATGAACCGACCCCGATAACTGGTAGCACATTCCCCCCCCCCCCCAAGTCCTTTGCCCCAGGTGCCTCTATGAAGTTTTTAATTTTGATAACAATTATCCCTGAAATTGAATTTCCGTGGAAAGGAGGTCAGACGTGACGTGTTTTAATAATTCCTATTAGCGCAAATTATTTCATGATGGGTTGTAGGAAATGTTGGACCTTTGACAAAAACTCCTCTCCATTATTAAAAATATTTTAAAGAATGTCTTTGTTTTTGGTATCAATATTATTATATATTTTCTGCCTTAAAATATAATGAACCCTATTACAACTGCAAATTGGGAGATATTACGCTACAGCCAAAGTGTGCTTCAATATCGATTCTCTTCAGATCCATTATGACATGGTGTCAATTTTGGAATGTGAATTTTATTCCTGGATTTATTTGCACCTTAGGAGAGCAGCCGTGACCCAAGAATATTGAACCATATTATGCGCTGTTGACAAAATTATTTAATAATTAGTTTTTTCCCCATATTTTGTTGACCCCATTATTCGTGTTTTCCATTGCAGCTTCACTTCTTCTACTAGCCTGGGGAGTTTATCTGTGTGTGAAAGTCAGGAAGGCGCCCTCTGCGTTCAACGAGAGTAAATTCATTAGCATCTGCATATACAACGAGACGCTGATGTCGGTATTTAACATTTTATTGACCACTGTGTAAGTAATTTTCTCTGAAACGTTCAAACTCGTCGATTATGTGGAAAGACAACACCATTTGCAATTACATTTGCGTGTGGAGTCGGGATTTGTTTTGGTATTAAAACATTTAATATATTTCACGCCTGAAATAGAATACCTTGAACAATTACACAAATTGTATCAATCTTACTGCTCAGATATATCTTTATGTTTTACATAATTATACAGCAAGCTGTATGCTACGAAGAATTTTTACATTTTGAGAAAAGTGAGTGGTAGGATACGCTTTAAATGAAGTTTCGGCTTATCATTTTTAACTGACTGATTACCAATCGCTTGAGTATCAGGATAGTGATAAACTCCAAACAAACGATACTAAAAGTGATTTTTCTTTGGGGAGGGGAGGCGGCTGTTAATGGTGATATGGCGCAGTAGTTTGGAATTTCAACCTAACCACTCCAGCCAAACACGTATAATAACACGATCAGCAAGGAGCATTATAGACCGACGCATTAACTGCAACAATTTAAATCATTTCTGATAGTTTCAACTTGCTTGTAATTGCGGTCGGTGGGTTCATCCATCATTCCATTGTACCAGAACATGCCTTTTGGACATCAACATGGCTAGATAACTACTTGACTGATGCGTGCATCATTCAAGTAATTGCTGTTTCTTCAATTGGAATGATTAAACACTTGTCAAGGCAGATGACTGATAAGGGACTGGCGGCAACCTATTTCATTAAAGGTTAAATTTTAATAACGCTTTGGCGGATATTTTTTCTGAAGCCTGATGGCTACAGGCATAATGTTATCCGGGAATTCATCAAAATGAAAATAATGAATTGCGCGTGCCTACGCTTTTCCAATTATATGGCTATTTAAGCAATTACATTTATTGTTCTGACATCTTTATGGGTTTTCGGAATCATTTTTGCTTCATCTGCGGCCTTCGGCCGGCTTCATACCTGGGTTTTTATGCTAATGCGAATTTGCATATTATTCATGAGCAAAAGTGTGATATCATTTCAGGCAGAAATTTTAATGTTTCAGCTATTTCAGCGTCAAAAAGTTGCCACAATTTTGGATACTTTGATGTCATAATTTTTTTCTTTGAGTACGAAAATTCACTTTAAGGTTATTGGGCTCAACTCACTGGATAGAGGGATGTTTAAAATCAACAGAAGTGTTGTTGACTGATTTTGTAAGGGGAAATATTGGCGAAAACGATAACAGACGACAAAATTGTACGAAAATAGAGATAGCGATCACCATGAATTCACAAACCAGTGTTGATTCGTATGGTATCAAATGAAAAATTTGTAAGATAACCATATTTTCTACCCAAAGATACCGTTCGAAATTACAAATATTGCGTCAATTTTAATTAAAAGAAGAAGATGCTTCAGGTTGCAGAATTGAAGTCAATGACTAAAGCAATCCAATGGATACGGATTTAACTGTTGCCATATTGATTTTTTTCTTCAGCGTGCTGGAGTCCGTAGAGCAGAGTGTAGCGGACAAACAATTAATCGTTGGAGTTTGCCGAGTCCAACTGACAGTCACCGTTATGGTTGCTTTACTCTACGGCTCAAAGGTAGGCTGGTCGGAAACCTGATGGTGGCTGAACTCAAAGACATTTTGTATGGCTATGTTAAACCGACAACTATAGGACTCTAGAGGCCATTGCGCTATAGGCCTTTGTATTCATTACTCACGATGAAGCGATCGTGGCTCCTGAATCTATTTAATAAATAACTGCTGAATGCGATGATGGTACCATACTATATTGTATGATTGGAGTGCATTCCAAGCCTCACTCTGTTTTTGTTTTTAAAAAGTTAGGGTATGTTTAATCACAATAACTATTTATCAATGCAGACTGGGATTAATTTGTAATGAGGTTTTATTTCATTGCTTTCATTTGTACTCGCAAGTTCCAGAAATGAAGAGTTTACCTCGCTTTCAATTTAATATGGCCGACTCGTGAATGATATACTTTGTGCACATCTTGTTGAAATTAGGCCAAGTCCAAATCTCATGTGTTGAGCTACTTGTCTCTAGGTCTTGGACACACAACTACGGCACATGACGATAAAAGACGTAGCCGTAGCTTTAGGACGCCCATTAGTAGCTTTAGGACGCCCATAGTCTGGTTCCCAGACCAAAAGATTCTGACTATTACTTCTGACGAATCTTAGTTCAGGTAGCCCTCACGGCTAAAACCGAAACATGATGCCCCTTTTTCAAAGCTCGGCTTTGGTTTTCATCATTAAAAGCTTTTAATGTTCTTAACTTCAGATCAAATAAAAAACAATAAATCATTTGCTTCATGTCTTACAGTTTGATATTTCTGTTCTAAAGCATTGATTAATGTTGAGCTGGAATCTTGAAATTAAGGGACCCTAATAAAATACCCCTAGGTAACCGTCTCGACGCGTCGCCATATTAAAAATAGTACATTATACGCATCAAAGCTTACCCCTCGCACGAGCTGAGTGTAGTCTTGATGCACAAAATCGTCATTGAATTTCCAGGGTTTTTTTTTAAATGCAAGCAATGAATATTTATTTTTAACTCATTCTTTAAAAATGTTTAACAAATGTCACGTGCCGTATATATATATATATATATATATATATATATATATATATGGTAGCGGTTACTTGAAGATTCATCAGAAATAGCCAGAATCTTTTGGTCTGGGAACCAGACTATCCTTTGCCAAAACCAGTTTCTGCACGGATAATATTTGCCAAGAAACTTGCATGTGCCACACTTCTTATCTGTGTGCCCCATATTCCTCGTCCAAGTTCCTCACCCCTAACGACGCCACTGACATCGAACTTTTTTGTGCTCTTATTATAAAGGTATATGACCCGGGGTTAACCACGGGTTAACTCTGTACGCCCTGACACAACCCATGAGAAGTGCACGTACATTTTTTACGGCAAGTGACCTACCCACAATGCTTGGCACTGGCTGCATTTCCTTCACATTTTTTTGGGGGGGGGGTGGCAATTAAGATAGGGCCATAAGGGAGATCGCCCCCACACACCCAGGTCATTACCACAGAAGACAAAAATCAATCAAAACTGACTTAGTTGATAAGGGCGACTCCTTTGTCTAACTGATTTAATTTTTCTCTATTTATTATTGAGATTTACCATGTAATACAAAGTCGACATCAGAAGACAACGGGCACGCAGTTGGAGCTGAAGAAGCGGGGCAAAGGTGGCCGAGGACCCACGGCAATATCTGGGACAGCCACGCTGGATTCTATATCGCCAACCATTGACTTTTGCTACAATAATCCAGATGTCAAAGTAAGTCGCGTAGTCCGTGCCATCCTGCTATTAAAAAGTGCTGACAGCAATATTTTTTGCAATAATGCACTGGATTATGCGTGCGGTACGGTTGTGGGAATCGCGAGCTGGTAGGGGCGGCGTATACGTGTGACCACGCGATTGACGCGAGCAGTAACGTAGCCAGGGACATTTTACCGGTCACACGGAAGGGGGCTAGAAGTTTTCATCTGACATGCTGTTCTATGTGGACTAGACTGACACTCTGACACTAGGTGGCGTCATAGTATACATTTTGGAGCAGTTCCCAACAACTAAGACGATTTTGCTGATGAAAAACAACTATTGTTTAGGGTGCCACACATTAAGCGTATCTTGGTTTGGGGTTTTTTTTGGGGGGGGGGGACGAATGGGTAAATAGCCTTAATTTTCGTTCGTAATTCGTAGGTAAACATTGGGTACGAACACAGCGACCCGGGTTGTTAGTATTAAAGGTTGGCTGGTGTAATCGTTTCTTTGGAAGAATCAAGCCAACTGTCACACCTACACAACCATTTAAAGGCATACAGGATCATTTGGAAAAACTCAAAAACGAAACTGCCAAAAAATACGAAATAGCCAACTTGATTGTATAAGTAATAATGTAAAACATCCTGTGGAATCATTGTTGAGCCTAGCATGCTGTCGTCAAAAAAGACGAATTTCGTATAAGGTTTGGATGACCATAGCTGAGAGCAAACATAGGCCAACTACATCCTTTAAACGGCTGCGAGCCAGCTATTGACTATGCCTTTAAAAAGCGACGCCTGTACAGACAGAGTGTGTACGTTATTTCGAAATATTTAATTGTAAATTCAGACTGGCAAATATAAGCTGGTTCAGTGGATAAGAACAAACTGTGGCTAAACCGAGTCGGCGTCTAGGGCCAAGATGCTCGCAGCCAGACTGTGTGTGCGTGTGTGTGGTCGTAAAGTCGCAGGTCGTGGTGTGTGGGATGACCTATCTACTGCCACCAAGCGTCCAACAATAAGGAGACTCCAAAGTTTAAGTTTTAGACTTGTACGATACCGTAGGCGTCACCTTATTTTAGCACAGCGTGCTGTTACGATTCAAGACACTTTAAACTAAAAGCGCCTATTTTAAGACGTGGCAGTCCTTGTGAACATTGCTTCAACGGGTTTTGTATTTCTTTTTTCATCTTTCCCAGTCCGAGATGGAACGAATGGCGAAAGTTATCGACTCCATTAAAGAGGCTATGAGACTGCACGATGACGGATTAATGCAGACGTGCCTGTCTGCATTCGAAAAGGAGCTGAGAGTTCCGCGAGCCCTGGACCGCTCGGCGAGTACCCTGGTGGGCAGTGAGGCCGACTCACCAGGCCCGTCGCACGCAGCCGCACCGTCCGCTGGTACTCGCTACCGGACCTCCAAAAGCCAATCCACAGAGAACTGGATTTTGAAATGAAATGTTTACAACTATTTTTGGACACAAAATAATACACAGTAACTTGCAGTGCCTTCCTTAAACTAAATGTAATCTTGGACAGCTTTGATTTAAATATTTACCGCCACGTGTGTGAACTATTTATAATAGTTTTTTTTCTTCACCTTAATTACGTCCTTTGTAGCACAACGTAAATCCTTACTTTGATTTTGTTTAAGTATTAAAGGTAATGCATACCATTTGCAAATATTCAAAAAGGAAACTTTCAAAATACTATGAAATACATGATTGAAGGTAAATAATACTATCAAGCAAGCGTTTTTTCCCACGGCACAGCCGGCAGGTCACAGGCAGGCCTTGTGACCTATGGATATGCACGACTGATTCGGCGAGCTGCACTTTGACGTAGAAACGAAGAGCGGTTTTCGTGGATTTTTTGCTTGTGCACCACTGGACACAAGCCAATAAACGGGTCAGTGAAACGATGACTGCTATAAATTACTAGCCCTGAAATCAGTCCTTTTTATAAAATTGCGACAAATGGACTGGGGTATAATAACCTTAAAGCCGTAAGAAACATTCGTTAACTTTTGAGTATAGTCCATCATGAGACTTGAGCTGAAACTTTTTTTGGTAAGCAGGTAGGGCGTTAATAACAGAACAAAACTCTGACCTAACCCCCTCCGCGCCCCACCCACCACCATCCTCACCCTTGAACCGTCGCGAGGAAGTATATCATCTGTTAAAATGACTGCATACTATGGGCCCAACGATTTCCATTGATGCTTGATCCTATCATTTATTTCAAAGATAGTTCACAATATTTTGGCTGTTTCTTTTTGTTAATGTTAGCAAATGATGTCCAATGCCTTTTAACACATTTTCGATAGACCTTTTTCTCAATGTTTAGTCTTACTCTCTAAATTCCAAAGAGTGAAATTAGGGACTAGACAGTTTAGAGTGAAAATCACCCTCATTTTTGATTGAAATAGTCGGAAAAAAGAACCACTTCATTCGAAGCTCGAGTGAAAACTCGATCTTTACGATTGAAGAAATTTCACTCTAAAACGTCTAGTCCCTAGTTTCCGACTGTGGGAGTGAATCTTCACTCGAATGGAGTGAATTTTCACTCTTCGGAATTTAGAGAATAGCCATAATTCTTTGCACAGTATGAAAGTCCGCAAATAACTTGTAAAAAAAAGGAGTCAAATTTATATTTTGAAATCCGTTTTTCAGAGAAAGGTGATTAAAAAGTGTGTACGTAGCCCGACCTTAACCAGATAAGTATTTTTATTACTGACAGTTATTTATACTTGATATTGGGCATAATGCCTTTAAACAGTTTACATGCATCCAATATCTATCTAAACATGTTAAAAGTGGGTACAGTTTAAATGTTTATATAGAGAATGTGTTCAAACCCTGAACACGATTTCGGAATGTCGTAGGAATTGTTTTATAAGGACCTCATTCTTTTAGCAACAAAAGGCAAATACATGTAATGTCAAAATTGCTTTCCATTCCATAATAAGCAATAATAATAAGAACAATGGAATTCGTAATTAATAATATTATAAAGCATGCAGCTTCTTTGGGCTCTTTTTATGAATTTTAGGATATAACACAAACACAATGGTTATAATGTTGATAACCACTGCAAATCAGGAGATATTATTTATGAATCATAGAATGATATACGGTGTTTCAAATAAAAAAAGATGTTTTATACACATTTAAACGTTTGTCTCCCATCAGTGTCTTCAATTTCCTATTTAAATATGAAGATTTTAAAAAAAACATTAGCTAAAATGTACGCTGAAAAAATATCAAAAGTCATCGGGGGTAGGCGTCTTGTTATTTCATATTAAAATTTGAATTCGTAAAAGATCACACTCGTACTACCCGGCCCGAGAGGGATACAGTATATGCCGATTATGGCCGCTTTCAACAGGTTGAATACGATACCATTTATACACTCTAAAAACTGAAGTGTCGAATCCAACACTTGCATAAGTTCGGTGATATGCCCACACTTTGAAAGTGTTAAATCCAGCTTCTTAAGTGTTTTGGGGGGAGTAAGGGGTATTTACCCCCCCCCCCCCCCCTCTCCCAATGTTTTGTAAGGAGTGCCCTTTTCCATAAGGGCGCGAACTTCGGAAATAGCCTGAGCCTGAAAGTTCACCCCTGGTGGCGCCCTTCCTGAACCCATGAACAGCTAGCTGGTAAATTAACACGCAAAAATTCAAAAACTTGCAATTATTTTGGTACATTGATTTCTTAAGAAAGAGGCCTTTGTACCAATTGTTACTAGCATCTCCATTTATAATAGGTTTTCCCGGCCAATTTCCTAAACTGTTCATTCACTTCTGTAAATCGATCATTCATTTTCCTCTGAATTTGAATGCACGTCTTCAATCCCATTTCAATTCAATGAAAGTTCAATCGTTTTCATTGTCCGTGCATGCATTCAGATCAGTTTTGAGAAACAGACGGCCAATTACGTTACCTGTGCATTCATTTACGCAAGCATGCCTTTTCTAAATTGACTTCAGGTAGGCCTACAGCTAATTTGACTGACGGTTAACAAAAAAGGAACCCGAATTGTATCTGGTGCCGATGGCATAAAAGTAAAGTGAAATATAATGGTGCATGTTTGAAATCGCGAAAAAGAAGTCTTGTAAACGAATCTGAATGGACATTAACGAAAGGTGCTGCTCCAACTAAAATGGAATCGAATGCACTGGTAGCGAAAATGAAACGCGTATTCAGAGCGATTCTCGAGTTCAGACGAATTTTTGAATGACCGATTTTCAGAAGTGAATGATCATTTTAGGAAATTGGCTGGGAAAACCTATAATTTTTGGAAGTACGCGTAATTACCATTGGGGTCTATGGGCGTCGGGGGGGGGGGGGGACAGATATCATTTGACATTAGAGGGCGCTCTTGATCTCACAAAGCCTTGGAGGGTTCGGCTCAGTCCACATCCGCGCAGCCCCCTTAGCCGGTATTTAACGTACTTGTTTAAAACCGGCCAAGCACATATTTATTACCTTACTAATTTATTTTAAAGCTTGAAAAACAACAAAGTAAAGAGGAACATTACGAATAGCAGACAGAATATTAAATGTAACAGTATCCCGATATTATGTACCACAATATCGATAATTATAAAGACATTGATAAAACTGGTACTTTTTAACCAATGCATACTTCCTTTCTCTTTCATAATAAATTTGTTTTTGTTTTGTTTCATATTGACCCCCCCCCCCGCACCAAATATGCCGTCCATTCAGCTCTATGATAACTCGGCAGAAGAGTTGATTTGAGAAAAATCTTAGGCCAAAAGAGGGCACATGGAAATGTGTTAAGAAGATGAAAAAGTAAATGTCCTTTTTTATTCATTTTCCTTTTAAAACATAAAACAAACCTATAACAAACACAAAAGCAAACAACCCAACAAAAACAAAAGTCAAAGAGTGGCCCGTTACCCCCCCCCCCCCCCCCCCCCCACCCCACCATCCCCACCGCCCCTAAAAAAAACACCCCAAAACAAAAACAACGTACATGGTATCACTGGTTCCAAATTTATAATGCATGATAATGTCGTTGCCTTGGACGTGCATACCAGTACTCATATCTCCCACAATGCCCAGCGTTGACTGCGCCATTTTCGATGCGGATTTGACAGAGTGAAGTTGAAGAAGTGGCACCTGAAAATCCACCATCATCTTCAACTTAGCGCCTTTGAAGAACAAGCACCATCATGTCGGAAAGTGGGCCGTATTTAGGGAGTAAAATTAGCCTCATTTCGCAAGCTAGAATTCGATATGAGGGTCTTTTGCATTCCATTAATCCTGAGGAATCCACGGTGACTTTAGCAGAAGGTGAGAAAATGCATTGTCAGGGTGATTGTTGTATTTGTTGGCTGAATTGAGTTCTTTCAAGTTTTTCAACAAATCATTCATTCAAATGGTTTTGTTAGATAAAAAGCTGTGTTACAATCCATGTTGTGCAACATTTTAGTTAGGCCCATGACGGGCTTTACACAATGTTCTCAGTGTGTATAAAATTCGCGACTTTCACAACAAAACACAACACTCACATGACTCAGGCTTTTGACAGCGACTTGGGAAAGACTTAGTCAGTACAGTAGTGTTACTTTAGTCCGAGGCCAGACTGTTTCTCGGCCGCCCTAATTATAGTCAAAAGGCCATTGGGGTCATGGAACCAGACAAGAGCTTTAATCATCTACTGAGCGTGTGTCAACTTTGGCAAAGCGCACCGCGGCTGTTGCCTGTCATTCCAAAATCTTTGAAGCCCTCTGATTAGTTTAAGCGCGCCCTCTTGTGTGCGCTCTTCATCCGCAGCCGCATATTGCATGCGGGTACTTCACAGAGCGCCAAAGATTTTGGAATGACAGGCAACAGCCGCGGTGTGCTTTGCCAAAGTTGAAAAAAAGTGGCATCAGGTTGCAACTTTTTTCCAATTTTTTGTTCTGATTGATTGGGGTATTTTAGCCCGACTGCGTCTGGCCGTACAGTACTATCGCAAGCTCTGTAGTACGGCCAGACGCCCGATGCTTCCAAAAAGACTGAATTTTTTTGGCCGCCGATGTAGCGATTTTGCTACATCTTTCGATCGCGATTATCTTTTCATCCAGGACACAAATTTCCAAAGTTAAGGTTCGTAGTCGTAGAGCAACTCATACCTTTTCGAAAAAAACATTCTTTGGTCTCAATATTTTCATCCATCTGGCCACAAGACGAATTTCAGTCATCAGATTCCACAAATATCGTCCCCCATGCGATTTCAAAATGGCGGCCGCGCTGTAATGTATGCATTATGCGAGTGCGCTTGGGCAAGATAATGAATATGCATTATTTAGTTCATGACCTCGTGTTTGTATGGCCAGCCGCGCTGAGTGTCCGACATACGTCATAAACTATGATGCATATTCATTATCTTACCCAAGCGCGCTCGCCTAATGCATACATTACAGCGCGGCCGCCATTTTGAAATCGCATGGGGGATCGCATGGGGGACGATATTTGTGGAATCTGATGACTGAAATTCGTCTTGTGGCCAGATGGATGAAAATATTGAGACCAAAGAACGTTTTTTTCGAAAAGGTATGAGTTGCTCTACGACTACGAACCTTAACTTTGGAAATTTGTGTCCTGGATGAAAAGATAATCGCGATCGAAAGATGTAGCAAAATCGCTACATCGGCGGCCAAAAAAATTCAGTCTTTTTGGAAGCATCGGGCGTCTGGCCGTACTACAGAGCTTGCGATAGTACTGTACGGCCAGACGCAGTCGGGCTAGGGGTATTTATGCGAATTTCAGCCAGCCTATTTCCATTTGTGAAACGAAAGCTTCAAAAAATTGCCACAAAAAGTAATAAAAACTTGCCTCGATTTTGTAAAAATATTTAATGTTGATAAATATTATTTTTAATACCGAATAAGGACCATATTCAAGAAATAGCAGATGATTTTGGAGGATTGAGGCTGCATCTTATGAAAATGCCTAGGGAGTTGGAGTTTAAACATTTAAAAATGTTCCATGCTTTACTGGACAACTGAGAGCGCTGTTGCTGTGATGTCATTTCAGGAAGACACTGTTCAGTTTAGGACTTTTCTGTTCAACTTGTGAACCCCAAAATGTGCTCATTGAAAATATTCGTGGGAAAATTTTGCTCATTGGCAAACACATATTATATTGCATGGCTCTACGCATAATGTGCTCAACATGTGATGTCATAAAATGTGGTCTTTACTGAGCTCCACTTCCACCCGTGGAAGTGTTGCATACAAGGGAATTCCCCCGATGAGAAATGGCTTCATCTGTCTCGTTTACAGCTACTCGACATGTTTGTTTGTGCCTGGGGCTTTTTTACTAGAAAGTATCCTGAATCCACCCAAATCCACCAATTTTGTCATGCAAAAAAATGCTGGTATCCTGAGTCCATCAGAATCCCCCAGTGTAGATACTGGAGGTATCCTGAATCCGCCAAAGACCACCAGCAATAGTCTTGATGGATTCTGGCGGATTCAGGATAACATGGTGGCATAAAAAATTGATATCCTGAATCCATCAAAGTCCCCCAACAGCTCAAAATAGAGGTATCCTAAATCCATCAAAATCCAGCAGTTCCGCTAGGCTTCCAGTCCTGAATTCATCAAAATCCCCCAGTTTGTTCAATATGGAGGTATCCTGAATCCACCGAAATCCCCCGAAACGGGGGGGGGGGGTGGATTTTGATGGATTCAGTCACATGTAGGTTAGGGTTAAATCAAGTTTTTCCCCCAGACATTTAAATAATCGGGAATCCAATACATGCATTACTTGGACATTTTTTTAGAATCAAACAAACTTTTTTTTGTCTCTTTACGTTTTTTGCACTTTTCAGTGAGATCCTTTGGTACAGAGGGTCGAGATGCACTCAGACATGTGCCTCCAGGAGATGAAATCTACAGCCTTATCATATTCAAGGCGGGGGACATCAAAGACCTCCATGTCTGTGAACTGCCCAAACAATGTAGCCACATTGCCCAGGACCCCGCTGTACTACAGGTAGTAAGTTGAAGTTCTTTGTCGTTCACATTTTGAGCTGCACAATGTCTCTGGGATGCCTACATCAGAGCCTGTGGCACGTGCTGACAGAAAACATCATGCCCATATTATGAATTCCACACAGTGGTGATGGTGTGTGTTATTTATTTTGTTGTTGGCCAAGCATGGCAAAGTACAGTACATGTATCGGGTCCACTTTAGCCATTAGGGTCTAGTTCCATTATGTGAAGCGGGGTCTAGTTGATTGTCCACATGTTTCATATGCAAAGAAAGAAGTGAGTGAATTGCTAGGAACCATCCTCAATCCTTCAAAATCCTCCAAAACTTTGCACTCATGTTCAAATGAAGGATACCCACTGCCTCAATCCTTCAAAATCCTCAGACAGTCCTGCCTCGCAAAATGCATTCATCCTCAATCCTCCAAATCCTCCTCTTCAAACACTATTCATCCTCCATCCACCAAAATCAACTGGTACTGAATGTCCGTGTGCCCTCAATCCTCCACAGCCCTCCAAAATTGTGTGTTGCATTCTTCCTCAATCCTCAAAAAAACTCCAAAACTGCCTGGAGGACTTTTGAGGATTAAGGAGGGTTAGGGTTAACCTTCCAAGTCTTTAACCCTTCAAAACCCTTCTAAGTTTTCCATCACTAAAACCAAGAATCAGAATGGTACTGTGTGGACCCTCCAAAACACTGAAGGGCTTTGAAGGGTTATACATGGATGTACTACACATTTTGATGTTTGACATTGGGAGACGTTTGAGACGTGTGGTGGCAGCAAACACAACGGTCCTTTACAATTGTTTATGTCATTTTGAGCATGCGCTCATCAGCATTAACGTGATGTAAACAATTGAAAAATCCAGTAGGATCCTAGTTCTGTGACCTTAAAAAATCCAGGTTGTCTCGTGTACTACATGTAATATCCTACAGAGGCTTCAGTGTCATAACTGTTATCCCCTCTGTGTGGTGTTTGTAGCATTCAGGGTCCGTCCGAAGCTCTTCCTCTGGGTTCCAACAACAAGGGCCTCCATTCAGCGGCACCCAGGGACAGTACGGCAACTACAGCGGCATGTCTTACAATCAGTTTGGCCATGTTGGCAGTGGGGTGATGCCTGGTCAGATGTGGGGACAGGCAAGTCACCCACCACCAGGCTTAGGTAGGCTCACACTCCTTTGGCATTACTTTAAATTTCAAAAATAAAATGAAACAAAAAAGTGAATCAATACTGTATAAACACCAAACCTTTTTTGAACTTCTCACATTTGCTTACATGTAAATCAGACACCATGCAATAACACAGTGTCACAAGTTTAGAACACTTCGAGCTTGGCTCTGAAATGCTTTTTCATATTAAAAAAAAATCTGAGTTTGAATTATGATAAAGATTGTGCGAAAAGGTTCAATTTAAATGTGCATGTTGTATCCTCAGTCATACCAAAACATGTCAGAAACCTGTTTATAATATTTATTTTATTTTAAATATTTGCCCTAAAGGTCGTGCCACACCGCCACCCATGACCCGCCGCTCCCCAACAATGGAACAAGGTGTGCAGGCCTCAGGCCCTGTCAGCCCCCAGAAGGACTCCAAGGCCCCGGCCAAGCCCCCTGCCCCCGCCGCCGAGAAATCCCAGACCCAGAGGCCCAACAAGGAGGACCAGGGACTGCCCCAGCGAACGCAACAGCCGCGCCGCCGGGGCTCCCGGGAGGAGAAGGCTGGCCAGCGCAAGGAGGTCCCGAGACAGGAGAACAAGGAGAGGAAGACGGCGCCGGACAGCAACAGGGACGGCAGAGGGGAACACCCAGAGAGAGGGGAGCGACAGGAGCGAGGAGACAGAGGCGATAGAGACAAGGGAGGACGAGGCTCACAACAGGGTTCCAGACAACAGAACTGGCAAGGTAGATTGGTGCTGACTGAAAACCCATTGTCACACACACAAACGTCTGCTTTGATTTGAATCACAAGACCTCATATAGTCCTTCTGATTTGAAAATCACAGGTGTGTGGAAAAAGGCACACCTGGATTTTTGTAGACGTGTGATTTTTCCAGCGTGTGATTCTGTGGTCCAAGCGGGGACTTAACAATCAGGGTTTTTTAATCATATTCATCTTGTTTTACAGTAAAGCCATTTTCTCTTCACCAACGTACTTTTTTTTCACAAATTATGTATAATGAAGTTTAATTATGCCGTAAATCTATGGCAAGGTGTGCCGTACAGAGGGATTCAGGCGTGTGACTATTCGCACTTCTCGGGAAGCTTTTAGGCGTGCGATGGCGTGGGGGTGCAATCGCACGTCTCAAGTCAGAAGGACTGCTCATACTGCATTATTTGAAGGAATGTTTCCCATTGATAGACTATAGAGGAGTGGCATGCTCTTCAAATAGAACTGTAACCATAATCCCCTAAATATCTTGAATCATAACCCTGCTCATTGCAACAATACTCGACACAGTGTCAAATTGAAAACCCTGTTCACTGTAAAGATCTATGGTTAACTAGCCCAAGGCCAAAGAATCTCAGAATCTTAGCCTGCCAGCTATCACTGGACCCAAAAGTTACATTGTTCAGTGTCTTAGAATTGGCAGTTATGTTGCTCCTTTTAACTCTCATAACTAATACACAGGCTATTCACCAACACTCAGATCATATTTCATGTAGGCACTGCTACTAGTCAAATTCCATCAACAGACGAAAGGTCAATCCTGCTTCATGTTTACAGGAGAACTCAACTGTTGGAAACAGAAACTCGATTGATTTTGACTGCTTGGATAGCTTTCTGGATTTTGCCAGGATTCATATAATTGTACAGAGACTTTGTCGTCCTTTTTTTTCCTCTAGGATTTCAAAACAGACGGGGTAGAGGTCGCGGCCCCCGCTCACCTGTAGTCAAGGAGAAAGTGGGCAACGACTTTGACTTCACGGCAGCTCAGTTCGACAAGAACACCTTGGTGGAAGAGTTCAAAGAGAAGTTAAAGATCGATGGATGTAAGTACACATCCGAGTCTTTGGTTTACTGTAATCTTTCTACATTTTATTATATTGCTTCTGGCCTGTTTAAACCAAACTTTGCCGCCGTCTCAAATGAGCAAGGCAGAAAAAAGCAGCTTCTCCAACTGATCGCGCAAAGTGTTTTTAAGCCATATGTGGTACAGGATTGGTTTCACCAAGGAGAGGGTTGTAAAAAAAATTAAAAATTTGTTCCTCATGTTCTACTCCTCCCCACCCACAAAAGAGCTTGTATTAGTAAGTTGGGAAAGGTAAGATTTTAACCAATTCAGCTGTCACCCTAAAGTTTGCTTTAGACAAGAATTAGAGTAGATGGAATAAAGCAGAGCCATTTCAGGACTGAATTAGTAATTGCCTAACCCTGCCCAATCCAATATGATCCAACTAATTTACATTCCTGCTGGGTCCTGTTGGATTGAGCAGTAAACCCCTTGTATCTAGTCCTGTTGAAACCTGTTGGAATCAGCAGGCAACTGAAAACATTCAGAGTGGGATTCTGTTGGGTACTGATTAATAACGCCATGTTGGACTCTGTTGGATCCAGCAGCAAACAGAAAAATAAGGCACAGTTGGATTCTGTTGATTGAGCATGCCAGTCATTTTATATGTTCAGGTAACCAACAACTTGGCAAGTTGGATTGTGTGGGACTGTGTTGGATTGAGCAGGAAACTGCCGTCAGACTCTGTTGGATTTTGCAGGGTTGTTCTGGGGAACTATTTGGGGGATTAGGCTTAACGTTCAAAATGGTCTTGTTCTTTGCGGTATACATGTGCTTGTGCCAATAAGTGTTGTTATAGCGGACTTTTCACAACTCACCGATGCATTTCTTTGTATCTGACACCATGTAGCTACGGTAAACGGAGATGTCGTGAAAGGGACCGAGGATTCCGGCAATGAAACACAGCCAAGTGACGCCCCTGAAGAGGAGGAAGCCGTCTACTATGATTCAAACAAGTCCTTCTTTGACAACATTTCATGTGACTCGGTCAACAGGGGGTGAGTTGACCACTATTTTACTGCCAAGGTTGGTTTGGAAGTAGACTTTGTGGCTTAATCTTGACCTGCGTCTGGATCGTATACACGGTGTGGTTCCCGTCATTAGCTCTAACCATCCATGGATGTAATAGACTCAAGACTTAGCAACATCACGCGTCCCAACTGGCTCTCATAGGAAAGCACACATGTAAACAAAGAGTGATGTCTTTAGGTCTAAGGCCTATTCCTCCTGCAATAACCTAATTCCGTGGGGGCGTTTTATAATTGTAAATACCGTATTAGCACCATGCATGTGTGTAAACTTTTCCTTTATAACTCAAAATTCAGGTAAAAACATCAAGAGTCCACTTCTCCGAACAGTTGTCTAAATGTGAAGCCTGCCCTGTGTAACAAGATCCATGAGGTCAAATGTCCGAATGCCAAACGCTTTCAAAGTCAGTGGCAGGATCCACAGAATCCAACAGTTGCATTGTTCAGTGGGATTAGTTCCTATTGTCTCAGAATTGTCATTTTATGTTTAGATTATGACCGTGCAATGCAATAAGGTCTCACAAACTTTTTAACACCTGTTACACTAGTTGAATCTGTCAGGGTAAGCCTCAATGCAGAACTCTAGTTCATTGAAAAATGTGCTTAAACTTTGCTAGATTATTTGACAGTATTGTCCATTATTAACCCTAACAACCCTGAGCCCATCAAGCTCCAACAGCGGGTTTTGCTTGATTTTGGCAGGGTTGGTACCGAACACTGGCCAGTTGGTGTTGGACTTTGATTGACTGGGTACCAAAGGCCCAGGGAGACCCTGTTGAATTTTGTGAGGTTCGGGGCAGAAGGGCATGAGATTTGTGAACACGTTGGAGTTCACTGGCATTTCTTCGTGGGTATGCTCACCCACGGTCCTCAGCACAGCTTGTGGTCAAATGTCCATGTACATATTGCTTTATTTTGTTAGGTTTGGTACCATCCCTATCCAATCACTCGACAATGCATAGGCCCATCCATACCAAGTCAATCATACTCCAACAGTTGGAGTTTGGCAGGTTTAGTACTGTTCCCCGTACAAGGCCTGTTGGAGTTTGGCAGTTTTAGTACCAGTGCTTACAGACCTGTATGCAGCTGTTGAAATTTGTTAGGTTTGGTATACTTTCTAGTGCAAGAGCCTAGGGGGTTAGGGTTAATAACAGTGCTTAGGGGAGGAATGAAGGGTTGTATGCAGCCTGTCATTTTCGGTGATTTCCATTTATTGAAATTTTTTTTTTTCAGGCAACGCCCCAACTGGAAGGAAGAACGTAAGATGAACTGCGAGACATTTGGCATTGCGTACGCCCGCAACCGTGGCCGTGGGGGTTATCGCGGTGGTTACTACCGCGGTGGTTACCGGGGCAGCAACTACCAGGGAGGGCGTGGCCAGGGGAGAGGCGGCGGGCGCTCCTATCGGAGCAACCGTAGTCGGGGTGGATGGAAATCACAAGGCTGGAACGATTACCCCCTCGATAGCCAGCAAAAAGCTGAGGTAATGATGTAAAACCCATTTCACATCTTTTCCACAACACCGCCATACCAACCAAACTGTACCTAAGATCTGAAGTCAGTCCGACTTTTGAAAAAAAGCAGGACTTGATATGTTGAACAATCAACTATTACAGTGGTTTAAATGAAGAAAAGTTCTGCTGTCTGAAACCAAAGTCATTTGGATTCACCTGAGTCTCTCCACATGCTTTTTTTTTCTTCAGAGGGAATTTGGAACACCTATCTCAAGAGGGTGTATTCCTCTAAGTACATTTTAGTTTACACAAATATTTTGCTTCAAAACTATCAATGACTAGTGCTTAGACGTTATACAGGAGCACAGCCTTGCACTTTAATTACTTGGAGACCTGGTTTATTACCTAGAGCCTGCACCATCAGTAGCCTCATGGCTAATATCCTCCGTATGCAGACTTAATGGACAAATTGTGACCGACTTTTGAATGCTAAACACGACCATTTTGACACTCTATAACTCTTCAATTGACCTATCGCCGTTTGAAGGTTGGCCACGCCTTTTAGACAACCCTATGCACGCTAAGTTTTGTTTGTCTCAGATGTTGCGCGTTCCGCGTCCATTTTGTATTTCATGTAATTGGACAATATTTCACAAGCTGCGTTGACGCGATTCTAACACGATTCTACCGGGGTGGGTTAATTCACCAAGCCCTTCAAAACTGAAGAAGATCAACTATTTTAACTGCGAAAGTCATCCACATTGCAAATGTCTGTTTTGTATTCATTCCTTGAGACAATATTTAAAAAGTCACATTTTAATTTCAGACTGTAACAGTGAAGACGGAGAAAACCGCCGAGGCCACAGCATAGAGATATCCAGCCAAGTAAACGTAGCGAGTAAATACCAAAGGACATGATGGAGGCACACCACCAGCCCAGGAATGTGAGCCTTTAATCCTAATGTGTGACATTTTGGGTTTTTTTCTTTCTTCTTTTCTTTGTTTTGTTGATGTATTTATTGCCAGGCCTCGAACGTAAGGCGGGCCGTGTTATGTACAAAATACCTGGTGCTGTACAGTTGAGACTAGGCGAGGCAGTGTGAGTGTACCATCTATGCTGTGTAGTTGGCCGGTATAAAAACTCAGAGAAATTGGGACGGTGATTTTTGATGCCTTATGGTAGTGTTCTTTCTTATATGGAAGTAAATGAATTACTTTGTACGGAATAGAAGAAAAGGTTGATAAAGAAAAGTATCGTATACTTAATTTTATAAAATGTTTAATGGAAAAATAGAAAAGCTGAAATAGATGTTCATCGCAGCAGCAGAACCACTAATTTCTTGATTGGCGCTTATCATTTCTACATGAATTTCTACATGAAGCAGCAATAAGTTAATTTGCAATTTATTGGCCATTCAGAAAGTTGAATCAAGGTAGATGCCTGTACACTCAAGTCTGACGAGCTGGTCGCTACATTGTTGATACCCGTTGATCTCTGCTTTATTGCATACCTCGGTTGATGCAGTCAAATAAAACTTGCCACTTGAATTTGATCAGTTTTACATCAGGATTGGCTAGTAGCTACATGTAGTTTGTGGACACTGTTCAACTAGTAGAACTGTCAAGTAAAATTCTTCTCACGTGGGAGCCGTTCTTCCGATATTATAGTGAGTTGTGCATCTTTTCAGTGAAAAAGAGTGGTGTGTCACAGTGGCACTCGAGCATGCACTAAGAGCGGTGTTCACCACCAAGTGTTGTATCGAATACAAGAAACAGTCATTTTAGAGACCTGGTCTTCAGCGTTTGACATTTCAGAATCTGTTTCATGCTGTTAGGCTGCAGGTTTCTAGGGAGAACGGTCTAGAAGGGTTGTGCTGTATATCCAATACTCTTTACAAATATTGTAACAATTATACTTATGATAACTTGCTCAGATTTTGCCAACTATTGGTTTTCTAAGTTGTTTCTCAATTCTGCTTCCAATGTTAACTTTGGAATCGAGGGTAATTTAAAAATAGCTGATCATTAATAAACAAAAATTGCTTCAGAAAACTTCTTGTAAAGAAAAAGGACAGTGAAGCAAAACTGATATCAGATATGAGGAATTGAAAGAAGGTTTAGGCATTAAAAAGATACTTTTATCCAAGATGTCGAACAAAAAAAAAAGCCTTATCCAGTGAATTAACTTTGACCTCATAAACCAGAATAAGCTGTGTGTATTTCTTTCATTTACATTCATGTATATTATAAACTCCTTTGGTTATATTTGGCTGTGCCAAATAAATATAAGTTTCGGTACTGTATACATGTAATATAAAGGTATAGAAGTTTACGCGAGAGAAGTCATGGTTCCTAAAAGTTGAGTCAGCCCTGTTGAGCTTTTTTTGTTTATTATTTCAGTGGGCTTTAGAAATTTGACCTGCTACACCAAAAATAGAAAATGTCTGGAAAAAGAACTTGAAAATTGTGTAAATTGAAAAAAAATATGGAAAGTTAAAACGTTGCTGTGTGTGCGCCCTGATGTTATTGGCCAGATGATAGCCGTTAAATTATATTTTCATTGTTTTGGTTTTTGTTTCGATCCTAAAGTTATGTTTGTGGATCAGTAAAAATTTTGAGAGGAAAATTTTTTTTTTCTTTTTGTATTTATGTGACTTGAATAATTGAACGTTTCAATATACCTCAGTGGTTGTTTTGTTCTGTGTCCTCCAAAATTGAAATGAAAACTATGAATTTTGCTTTAAGATGAACACATTAGAAAGTTATCTTGGTGCCTGAAGTCGTTTTCTCACGTGAGAAAAGCGAATAATTTGAGGAGAAATGTGAGGTTTGGTGTTACAATAGGGTTTCACCATAAATACAAAAGCGACCTCACTCTTTGTGGGGGAGTGCACATCATTGTGCCGTATGTTATGTTGGGTGTACTTGTACATAATTTAATATTTTCTTATTGGCCAACAAAAGAAATTGATGAAATGTGAGTATAATTGTTCAAAGAAATTGAGGAAAATTAGTAACACTGAACGGTATGACTGGGTCAAATGTTGATTTGAAATACTGTCTGTGTATTCCAAGGATCTATCTTTTTTCCAGAAAATGCTTGGGTTTTGGCCTTTTTGCTTGTAAGTTTATTGCAGGTGGTTTCAAAGGTTTGATTAATAGATGATTTATGTGCCCTCCGCAGTAAAGAAGCTGCACGAGAAAAGTTATTTCATATTACTTGTAATTTAAATAATTTTTCATATTAAACATGAAATTGACTTTTGTCCCCCTTGAAACGGCATGCCGGCAAGTTGACGGTATCGGCTACGGTTTAAAAGAGTAACGCTTTTTCATCGTGTCTTGCAGATTTTTCTCAGGTATCTTGAAGACCGCTTGAAACTGTTGCTATGCATTACAGATCCTAGTTATTTGTTTTTGCATTGCTGCAGAAACTTTGTGGGATTATTGAAATTTTGATGTCCATGGATAGAGCCACATTTTTTTTCTCAAGGCATGTATAACTGTATAAATCAAGCAGAGCTAGTTTTATAATTCATTGACATTGACCTGTCGGCATGTATGTATAAACAGGGATGTACGAAGGTCCTCCATACTTAATTGTCAGGCAAAACATGTGAAACATAGGCACCATTCATGTGTGTATCCATCAAACTTCCTGCAAGAATGTCAGATTCACACTTGCGTCCCTACATGCAGCATACAGCAGCATGCCGATGGTTTAAACATTTCATGTGTAAGCTAACTTCATCAGATTGGATTCATAATCTGTATGCACGATGTTTTGAGTAATTCAGTGAGGGTTTACAAAATATAATACGCTTTTAGTCCTCCTGCTTGTCTGAACAGTCACAGAGAGTAAAATCAATTCTCTTCCCTGCCATGCCTCTTACTTAAGCCCGGTTCATACTTCACACGAAAGCGAAAGCGAAGCGAAATTTGTGATGTCAACAATACATTCGAAGCGCGTCCACCATTGTTGACGACATGAATTTCGCTTCGCACATACGTTCGCGTGAACCGGGCTTAAGGGTAGTCACCAAGAGTCAGATCACATTTGAAGCAAGCACTGTGACTAGTCAAATTCAGTCAACAGACAAAAGCGGGCAAGTGGTGGGCACAGCTGGCTTATCAATCATCTACATTCAAAGCATAGATGTATTAAGGTACATAAACAGTCACAGCCAGTCAATCCTGCTCTATGCACCGGTAGGCTGGGAGCTCTTTAACTGTTAAAAAACAGTCACTTGATTGATTTTGACTGGAAGGACAACTTTGCACAGAAGGTATGTTTGCATAGGAGTGTTAATTAAAGCGGCGGCTTTCATGTGCTCACATTCAGTGCATATGTGTCCGCTGCATACAAGACCAATTCTGAGTTGTAAGCCTACACATGAGGGTACTCGACAGACATAAAATGAACTCAAAACATGCATGGCTGCATAATGCTTCCCGAGTAATTTAACAAGGATGTATGGACACGATGATTGTATAACTGCCTTTACTCAAAACCTTGTTGTTGAAGTGCATTTCCAATTGACCACATGTTTTTCTTGAACAGATAAGAATCAATGTTATTAAAAGTTCAATACAGTGAAGAGTAAAGCCTGAACAAACGAAAGATTTGCAGACACAGTGTTGCACTCGCCAACATTCTCAAGGTTTTGTAGGAAAAGATAAATATCAATATTAACAAAATCTCACGAGGACGTGGAAGTGTCCACAACTTGCAAGGGAGCCCGAACTGTCTTGCAGAAGAATTAATAATAGATGTATGAAAATTCACTGATTTGTCTTCAAAAGAAATTTATTGAAACTCTTTAATAAAAGTTAATTTAGAGAAAAAAATAAACAAGCATGTTGAAAAAAGAAACACCTCTGTTGTCTTGATGTTACTTATACTGTTTCGTGATTTTATTGTCTTTTATCAAACATACATGTAAGCAACTGTCATAAAGATCCTGATACCAAGTAAGCCTTCGGGAAAGGATTGGCTCCGCAAGCAATTGGGCTGGTTTGAACCGGTCTCTTTGCAGCAAAGCTTAAACAAAAAGGTATTTCTGGCTCTATTGTAGCCTTTTTCAGGCATGCAACTGGGAAGTCACACACAAAAAAGTGGAAATTCAAATCTTTCCAAGACTTTGTACAGTGTTTTTCCATTTTTAATGGCACACCTGGGAAGTAAAAAAAGAGGAAATCAGCTGATCCGAGGAAAAGTTGCATGCCTGCTTTTTGAGACATGTTGGGCACAAAAAGAGGGCACTAATTACCAATTCCAAATAGAACCTTCACTAGTCCACACCGCCCTTATCTTAAGGTGCTACTGGGTTTGTTTTTCCCCCCACAAAATCTTGCAAAAGAAGTGCAGGTCATGGTAGGTCATATACATCTTGTTCGAAAGGGAACATACGGAATAGCCGACCTACGTCAGCCGATAAACAGTAGATCCAATGAAATCTGAGAACGCGTTGACCCTGGGTCATCAGTTACACAAAAATCATCCAATGAGAGCTCAAAGCAATTAGCCACCAAACAGTGCCCTCCTACTGTGTCTGCCATTAGGCACAGTTTCTACAAAATTTTACACGTCTACAGATCACAAAGCTTGCAAGAAAGACCCCGCTTCATGGTCTTGTTGCTCGAGTAAAAACAATCAAGGTTTATCACTGTGTTTCAGCTCCTAGCCATGCTGTCTGTGACTTCACTGACATGGTCTCGGACCGCGCCGTCCAGCACGGTGTGGATGTCTTTGCAACCCTTTGTGGCCATGTCCAACACTTTGGACAAGTGGTCCGCGTGTAGGCGCGAGTTCAGCTGGAACAGCGCGATCTGTTCCGATTTTGGCAGGAGCGCCACGATCATGTCGGGGCCACCCAGCGACTCCTCCAGGTAGCTGATGTCCACCAGGGGCGTGTCGCTGACAAAGCCGGCCGAGCAGGCACACACGTAGTCCCTCATGGGGATACCTGCATCAATGATGGCCAGTGTGGCGGCGTTGACGCAGGCACAGTAGTTCCCGCCGTCTGCCTGCAAGACCTGCCAAAAAATTTGGAGCAAAATTATCCTTAAGACTCAAATCATGAAGATTCATGATCTAAGAGTGTTAAAGCTAAAAGCTCCCAACAGTTCGCAAATTCTGTTGCACTTAAATTTGTGCAGTATCAAAAGAATGTAGATTTTTGTTGAATTCAGGAAAGAAACTGCAGGAATCTTATTTGGGTCGTAATCAGACCTATAGGGGAGTTTGAACAACTGGGAATTTTATGCATCGGCTTATCTAACTCCCAGACCCAATTTCTGGGAAGTCACTGGTTCTTGGGTCTGGAGTGCTGAATGGGTTATCATGGCAACCAGTGAAAACTGGTGTGCAAATGCATGCATGTTTTACTGGCCAACGGCACATTTCAAGTCAAGTTTCAACATGTGTGATCGTACATACTGGTGTTGCAAAACCACCATGCAAATCCACCATGCAAAGTCTTCTAGAAACTTGCATGAATTTACCAAAACTCCAACACTCCAAATATGTGTACTTTTGTTAAGTACATGTATTTGGAGTCCTAAATTTAAAACCCAAACCGACCTGCACATAGATGTCAATCTGTGAGCGTGGGTACAGTTGTGTCATGATAGCTGCCTCGAAGGTCCTCTGTAGGTTCTGGGACATCTCTTGTGACTTCCGGTCACCCATGGGCCTCTTCTTGCGCTCGCCTGTGCTGAAGGTGGCCATGCTATACTGGCAGTTGATGGTCACACGGTCATGCTGGGCCCTAACTCGGCCACCTGAAGCCTGGTATTCAATGAAGACAAGTCAGATTGTTTATGAATACCAGAGTTGTAATGATTATAGGCTAATCAGAAAGTGCTGCCTTTTTCAGATCCAGATGTCTAATTTTCGTGAAATTTCATGTAGAAATTTTGATACGCGAACATGTGCAAACGAATCTGGAAATTTCACGAAAAATAGACATCTGAAAAAGGCAGCACTTTCTGTTTAGCCTAGTGAGTAGGCCTATGCTTCTATATTCTAAAGCAAAAATAAACTACAAACATTTGACAAGCTAAGCCTAAAAATGTGAAAATCAAAATTTGACAAAGTTCGACATCTTTTTACACATGGTGGAAGTGTGGCCTTTATTTACGGAGGTAGTCCAGTAAATTGGCCACATTTATGGGGCTAGAGTTACTCAAGTTGTGGTTCAGTCAATGCAATATATTATTAAGGTAATGGTTCACCAATAAATTTAAAGAGCGCCCTCACGTTTGTGTCGGAAATAGGTATTCAATGTGGCAAACCAACGCGACGGCACGTGTTTTACCTCATGCGGTCCGTAAACCGTTGCAAGTGCCCTTGTGTTTCCTTGCTCAATGTAGGCTGATCCATCCGCTTGCCTGAATACACCCATTCGACACTGGATCTTCCGAAGCTCGTGCGGCCTTCGTCCATCAACGCGAAATCCTTGATCGGAAAGGAGTTCGATTCCTGCCATTTTTTGGCTGTTGCCTGCGCCAAATTATTTCTCGCAGCATATATAGTCTGGTCCCCGTCCTTGTTTGTCGTTGAAAAATGTGTTAATGAAAAGGACAATGACTAAACTGGTACTTGGACTGTCCATGGGATTTTCAACGAAAACATAATACACAAAACAGTGAAGCAGCTGAACTCTGGCGCCAGTTTATAAATACGCTGTAGTTCAGCGCGGAGGCGTGGTCGTGAATGAAGGTAAGCTAAGGAGGCAGGCTGGCCAGCTAAAAACACAGATTAGTGATTATTAAAAACATGGACATGATGGAGGTATGAATACTGTAGAAGAAACCAAAAATCAAATATTGAGATCATAAAAAAGTAGAAATGCAAACTCCTATCCTAGGTCTTATTTGGTGTATCCAGCGGGGCATGCAGGGGGGGGGGGGGGGGGGGGGGGCACTTTGCATAATCATAATGCCTGCTTAATGGTCAGTTTTGGTCATCTTGGATTTCTTGACTTTGGTTTTAATTGCCATGGCCGGGGGGGGGGGGGGGGGGGGGGGGGGGGAACCAATGGGGGCCATCCCCTGCGCGCCCCTCCCCCCTATTACTACGTACAATTGTATTAATATTTATAATCTGGCAGAATCTGGTAATGCAAACACCAAAGATCATGCTGAATGGCATTGTGTACACACAGCGCATGACTTGACTATTCCACACTGATGAGCAGTCCAAAAAACCTTGATCAAAATCCCATTGTGCACTCACACAGGGGAAGTCTACAGCTGTTGTAACAATTGTCAGCTGTTTTCACATCAGGCATATAATTGGTAGCACTGTTAGCAGTACATGTAAGTAGTTGTGCAGTATAGGCCTATACATGCATGTATTCAAACTGGTTTAACCCCATGCGCATGGGAAGCGGTCATGGCCGCGGCCGCTAATCCTCATTGGAATGCAGTTGCCAGCTGTGGTATGCCATGGCACACAGCTAGTGGGTAGTTCCACAGCTGCTGCTTTTGTGCAGTCCCGCTACCACACAAAGGCTGTGCAGTCATGCGGGCCACTTGCTCTATGTGTGGAGGAATGTCCCCATTATAACCGTCCTTAAGGGGTTAAGCATAAATGTCAGAGCTTGGTAGATCATGACCAAGTTTGATCTGACTGTCACAAGAGAATTTATGCAAATAAAAGGCCAGAGTATTGGTGCATAATGGAAATCTATCTATACTTTGAAATAGTGTAAGCACACTGAGCCTATAGGTTTTCATTATAGTCCAAACATGGTCCCCAAAAATATTGATACCAAGGTGTACATATAATATATCGGTACACACACAATAATTTTATTTAGGGCCTAAACCTCACCCCTAGATAATATTCCTGTTAATTGGCTTAATTGAATGCATCAGTTAGGCCAAAAAAAAAAAATAGTCGGTCTCTGGTCAGACCAAAGTTCCAAAATTGATGTGGCGACGCGGCAATTGTTGGTGTTTCCACTGTTCAAAGACACTTTTAAAATGAAAGATAAGTTGGACAAGAGAACTGAACATATTTACAGTGTCGTTTAGACTTGTATTGGTCTACAATTTATTTTCCGATGAATTTGTGGACTTTTTCGTTGTTTTTTTACTGCATTTTTCAAAAATAAAAAAAATAATAAAATCCAGGCGGCCTCCAAAAAGGAAGCGGGCGGGGACGAGAAACATGTTTTTTTTCTACTTCGCCTAATTTGGATTTTAATTCAAGAGTGGTGTACATTTCTAGTTGCAATGACTCGACAGTTTTAACGGTGACTTAGCAGTTTGTGAGACAGGCCTGCGTGTACAACATATTTGCAATTTACTTCAATCGAATTTGGTCGGATCACTTTTGGTGTATTGGTGTATGAAGTATGGCAGCTTTTTGTATTGCATACCAATCCTGTAAGTCATGTTTGTATTAATTGTCCAAAATTATTATTTGTAAATTCATATAGTTTCGTATATGTGCATGATACTGGAATAATACATTTTTACTAAAGTGAGCTAGTGTACTTGTAGTGTGTGGCATAACAGTTGTCCTAAGAAGGTACCAAGTCTAACCCTGCTACAGTGACATGTATGAGCTAGATGTACACAGGTGTCACTAGGGGATGTCAACACCCCCCCCCCTTCCCTTCCATTTATTTTTATTGGGGGTGTTGGTTTTTTGTGTGGAAAATCATTGTCCTGTCAGCAAAATCATGTGTCTGTCGGTAAAATCATGTTTCTGTCGGCAACAAATAGCGGCACCTATTGTCCGATTAACAGTGGCCAAGATCGTGTGCTTTGAAAAGCCCCCAACAATCGGATGGTGTCCAGCTCCTTGCTTTGTTGTCCTTACACCACTTTCTCCCCCCAATGAAATTAGTCTTGGGATCCCCCTCACTAAAAATTAAAAAGAACTGTATATGGTCAGTAAAGCTCTTTTAAAACTTGTCAAAGCATGTAAACAGTATATATTTGGGCTTAAATTTTTTGTATTTCCTTCATTTGCATTGCAGATTAACCCACGAGCAGGTTCGGTGTGACGGCATTTTTCAGTCATGTCCAGTCCGATGGCGGGGTTCCGCTTTGCGATTGACCGGGGAGGGACGTTTACCGACGTCTACGCCCGATGTCCAGACGGGCAGACCAGGGTCATGAAACTACTGTCGGAGGACCCTGGGAACTACCCCGATGCTCCCAGGGAAGGAATACGCCGCATACTACAACAGGTGAGTTACTTGCCTCAGATCATCAATCCTAGGGTTTAGATTTAAAGATATAGTCCATCATTTGTAATTTGTGCATTTTGTTCGTTTGAAGCAACAAAAGTGCTCAAGATCTAAAGAAGGGTACTGAACAACTAACCTGATGAAGTTTCAGCTCAGCTTCGGCTGTATATTCCGAGAAAAACAGCATTATAGGATCTCAATTTCAAATCAAAAGTTGCTGAATCATGTTTTGAATTGGGCCTGAATTCAACGTCCGAGACACGTTCTCACTGAGCCGATTGCAGCTACGCGATGTCGCGCACTGATCCGACAAATTATAGCAACCGCGCGTGCGTGTGCGTCGTGCCAATGCTTGCGCGTGCTTGGCCGAATAACAAAACGAACTACTAATCTAAATTTCCTACGATGCGTCTTAAGAAGCACCGTTGGAAAGGCCTTCTTTCGTTGATTACTTCAAAATGACAGCTTGCCAGAAAGAATAATTTCGCAGGGAGTTTAGTCCTCTTACTATCTTTCAACCAAGTATGTTTTTCAACAATAATTACGCCAGTTACTTTTCGGATAGCTGCACACGATGGACTATAGCTTTAAGCCTGTTAACCCTGGGAGGGATCTCCTTGTACATATTTTTGTCAATGTCAGGCGTTGGTCATTCTATAAACTTAGGGTCTAAAGTGTTGCATTTTGTACATGCACCTTGGTACTTTGTAATTTGCCATTCAAGAATTACGAATGACTGTACATCCAATGATAACAAAAATAGCATTTTTGGATATAGATCCATCAAATTAGGTATTCATGTAAAAAAAAAATTACATAATGTTAAAACGTCCATTGCGACTGCCTTAATTGACAGTGTTAATTGGCCTGCCTATGAGTATTAAAATAAAAAGTATTGAATTTTGTTGATGAAATGTTCATTTTGTTGCCAATGTAGGAGACCGGTCAGCTGTTGCCAGCTGACCAGCCATTGGACACATCGCAGATAGAGTGGATTCGCATGGGTACCACCGTGGCTACTAACGCTCTACTAGAGAGGAAAGGAGAACGCATGGCCCTGGTCATCAACAAGGGCATGAAGGATTTGCTGTACATCGGCAACCAGTCCAGACCCCAAATCTTTGACTTGGTGTGTACAATAGATCTAAACACCGCAAAAAAAGAAAGTCCACACTCATTGGAGGGATCCAAATGTTGAATCTGAATGTCTTATGATAACATCATTTATATACACCTTTGGGGAATTTTTTTGGATACATTTTGATACCCCGTTTGCTACCAAAGACTGTAAATCGTCCAAGATTGACAACGGTTTATGAGAAATGGTGCAGTTTGAAAAGTTGCAATTTAAGAGATACGCGAGGAGAAATTGCTGAGTGCCAACACACGTGCCCGTTATTCATTAGCCCCTATCGACTACACAGTGCCCGAGCAAAGCGCGGGTAATTCAATTTCACGTGCTCGCATGCATACAAGCACGGTGCGATTGATGTTCCCTGCCGTTCGTTTCGGGTAGTGTCACATTGTCGCACAGCAATTTCCATGTGACTCGCGCACTCTTTAAATTTGCAACTTTTCAAACTGCATCGTTTTTCATAAACCATTGTCGGTGTTGGACGATTTACAGTCTTTGGTAGCAAACGGGGTATCGACATGTAGCTAGCAACATTCCCCAAAGGGGTGTATAAATGACGTCATCATAAGACCATCAGATTGAAAATTGTGACCCCTCCAATGAGTGTGGATTTTCTTCAAAATCAATAAAATGACTGTTTTTAACAGTTAAGAGCTCCCTTCCTACATAAAGCAGGATTGACTGGCTGTGACTGCTTATGCAATGTGATACAGTGTTCCCTTGAAATAGCTCAGCTGAGAGTTAGGATGATTAGTCCCCCAAATTATTATATAATTATTATATTTTTGACTGTCTGTGGCTGTACACATAACAGAAGTTTTAAATAACTAGAGAGATAAAGCTATATACACAATGCACCGTAGCCTGTTGGGTGCATCCATGTTTGTGCACAAACCCACGGAAAGCTTGACATTTTGTACAGCTTTTGTGTGGCTATTTATAAAAAATTGATATTTCAGGGTGCCAAGCCAAAAAATACACAGAGAATTTACTGGGAATGTTTGACAAGAACTACATATTTCACTCTTTGTATTGTCACGTACTTTACACACAGTTTGGCTCCAACTCCTTCGTCTTGTAAGTAGAGATGTAACGATTCATCAATGTTTCAATCATATTCCTCATCTTTGAAAGATTATTGATATCTTCAACAGGAGATTGTGACCCCTGACATGCTGTACGAAGAGGTAGTGGAAGTATCTGGGAGGGTCATCTTGCAACAAGAAAGATGCGGGTTACCTAGGCGACAGGGCCTGGAGATTGTTACCGGTACAACGGGAGAAAAGGTGAGATTTAGGTGTTATTGACAAGTATTGTACAACATTTGCAAATATTCATAAACACAATTGCCAAATTATTTGGTAATAGCTCACTTGATTGTCATTAAATAATATCATCAAGCATCTTTTGCAGTTGGTGCATGTAGTGTGTGGTCTCCTTTCAGTTTTAAGAAAAGAGGAATTTCCTATCATTTTCAGTAAGGCCAAAAAAATAACGTAATAGTTCTGCTTCCGATTACCCTACCTACCCTATTCTGACAGCCCCTACCCTAATTTTTTGGGGGGGAAAATGAGGAAAAAAGCCCGAAAATCATCAATTACTACCTTTTACCCTTGACTACACGCAGACACCTCCATATGATCGTACACCCAAAAAATTTCCAAAAAAACGTTCCCTCCTACCCACCTACCCTATTTTCAAATGCCATGTAATCGGAAGCAGAACTACTTTTTTGGGGCCTAATCAACCAGGTTAAAGATTATTGGGCATGTTGGAAAAACAGCTTTTTCTTCAAATGCTACATCCTTTATTGAGCACTCTGGTTCAATGGAGATTGCTTTAGGATGGCTACCTTGTTCATGTTTTTGTTGTTTATTCAACAAGTGTTGAATCAGCTGCATTTTCTGCATTTCAAATTTTAAACCCAGAAGTTGAACTCAAAATCCTTTAGAAATAACTGAAACAAAACACCATTGTTGAGAAATTCAGAAAAGGGCCAATGAATGGCTGATATATCCTCTGTTTTCTTGCAGCTTGAGGTACGCGAAGACCTTAATAAGGAGAAACTCAGAGCCGATTTACAGAAGGTCCTTGACAAAGGCATCCGCAGCCTGGCTGTTGTTCTCATACATGCCTACACGTACGTATTGAACTCACCAGGGGCCTGTTTCACGAAACTCTTCTCATCTTAAGACGCATCCTACTGAAATAAAAACACCGTTTTTTAGAAATGGGCTTATGAAAGGTTGATATTTTCCTCTGATAAGGTTCAAGGGACATTTATTTTTTTGAAAACAAAACAGAATAACAGTCAATTGATAATCTGAATCATTCAGAATTCAACACCTTACACGTATCACCTGTAGGCCTGGGCGAGTAGTGGATTTTCCTACCCGAGTACTCGCAGAGAAATTACTCGTGAGTAGTCGAGTACTCACGAGCAGTTTTACTAAATTTCCATCAATACAGAAAATACGGTATAAACATAACTAAGAAGTAAGTTGCAACGCATGGAAGACACGCCACATTCAGCGCTGAGATATCCTTAACTATGCAAAACTTTGGCTCATTTTAATTGAAATTTTATTTGTTGAGAGAGTTAGTGGAATCCCAAGGAAACAGATGGAGGTAGTGATTCCTTTATTGCAGGCCTGCAAATCGTGAAGCTTGGGGAGTGGCCTGCTGAAAATCTTGTTCATTAAAAAAAAAACACCCAAGGCGCTGGAGATATATGAGACCCATTATGTAGCACCTTATAATGGTTTACAAGATGCTGCGGCGCATATTGCAGCCACTGCTAGAAACACCGGGGCAACTTCTCTTAGCGATAAGTGTTACTGGGTTCTTTAACGTGCATTACACAACACACGGGACCTACGGCTTTACGTCCCATCCAAAGGACGAAGCAATAATGGTAAAGTGCCTTGCTCAAGAGCACAAGCACCATGTTCCCACGGTCAGGATTCAAACCCATGTACCACGGCACACGAGTCGAACACCGTAACCATTGGACCACAGCACCCCACAATAATTGTGAAGCGCTTAGGGACTAAAGTATAAAGCGCTATAATGACCACCACATTATTTTTACATCTTTCGTCGCAGGTTTGAAAGCCACGAGCGAGAGATTGGCGAGATTGCTCGACAGATGGGCTTCAGTCATATCTCACTGTCCAGTGCTGTCATGCCCATGGTTAGAATGGTTCCCAGGGGATACACAGGTAATACACAAATACAACCCTAACTCCCTAGCATAATTTACATGTACTAGGAACCAGACCCATCCTGGCAGATTCCAACACCATATGGGAAACTGCACACACATATTTTTGACGTTGATTCTGGAGGTGTGCCCAACACTATGTAAAAGACTGTCAGTTTAGGGGTACTGTACCCATCCTGAGAGATTCCAACAAAAAAATGCCATTGGGTTTGATTGGTTGGGGGAGGTTAGGTTAGAGGTTGAGGGGAAGGAGTCCAACATAATTGGTGCCTCGGTGTCGGTGTTGGCTGATTTGACTTTCTTCTGACGCGAAGCCAAGGGAGATTAGTCCACATTAGCCAACACAGAGGAACCAGTCATTTTGCACTATAGACCATGATCATGAAATCAGAGTAGTTATTTCAGATTGTAAAGATTTGAGTTTCTCTCTTTGTTATGCCCCGCGGCGAAGCCGAAGGGGCATACTGTTTCCGCCTTGTCCTTCCGTGGGTGGGTGGGTGGGTGGGTGGGTGGGTGTGTGGGTGTGTGTGTGGGTGGGTGGGTGTGTGGGTGTGTGTGTCCGGACAAATCTTGTCAGCACGATAACTTGAGAAATACTTAACATATGAACTTCAAATTTGGTCTGTGTATTGTTCTTGGTAATCCTAAGAGGCCTATTGCATTTGGGGCCGAAAGGTCAAGGGTCAAGGTCACAGTGGCTGAAACAATAGAAATTTTGTCAGCGCGATAACTTGAGAAATACTTTACATATGAACTTCAAATTTGGTTTGTGGATTGTCCTTGGCAATCCTGAGAAGCCTTTTGCATTTGGGGCCGAAAGGTCAAGGGTCAAGGTCACAGTGGCTAAAACAAAAGAAATTTTGTCAGCGTGATAACTTGAGATATACTTTACATATGAACTTCAAATTTGGTTTGTGGATTGTCCTTGGCAATCCTAAGAGGCCTATTGCATTTGGGGCCGAAAGGTCAAGGGTCAAGGTCACAGTGGCTGAAACAATAGAAATTTTGTCAACGCGATAACTTGAGAAATACTTTACATATGAACTTCAAATTTGGTTTGTGGATTGTCCTTGGCAATCCTGAGAAGCCTTTTGCATTTGGGGCCGAAAGGTCAAGGGTCAAGGTCACAGTGGCTAAAACAAAAGAAATTTTGTCAGCGTGATAACTTGAGATATACTTTACATATAAACTTCAAATTTGGTTTGTGGATTGTCCTTGGCAATCCTAAGAAGCCTATTGCATTTGGGGCCGAAAGGTCAAGGGTCAAGGTCACAGTGGCTAAAACAAAAGAAATTTTGTCAGCGCGATAACTTGAGAAATACTTTACATATGAATTTCAAATTTGGTTTGTGTATTGTTCTTGGTAATCCTAAGAAGCCTATTGCATTTGGGGCCGAAAGGTCAAGGGTCAAGGTCACAGTGGCTGAAACAATAGAAATTTTGTCAGCGCGATAACTTGAGAAATACTTTACATATGAACTTCAAATTTGGTTTGTGGATTGTCCTTGGTAATCCTAAGAAGCCTTTTGCATTTGGGGCCAAAAGGTCAAGGGTCAAGGTCACAGTGGCTAAAACAATCGAAATCTTGTATTTATTCTGAGATCATAGGGATTAGGGATTAATTCATATAAAACCTACAGAAGACACTAATGCTGTCAATGAACATTCCATGTGACCAAGGTACATGTAAGTTGATGTTAAAAGAGTGGTGTTATGTCATGGGAACAGTCACGGTTGCGGGGCATTTGTGTTTGTAAACACACCTGACTTGTTTCATCTGTTTGTTGTTGACGTGTTAATAGTGTTGATGTTTTTCTCATACAGCGTGTGCAGATGCCTACCTGACACCGTGCATCCGGACTTATCTAACTAGCTTTGCGGGGGGTTTCCGGGACAATCTGCAAGGGAAGAGGGTGCTTGTCATGCAGTCAGATGGTGGACTCACCCCCATGGAAAAGTGAGTAGGTCCCAGATCACCAAGGAAAACAGATTGAGTTTACAAACTTTAATGGGCCAGCAATATATCCTACATGTACATGAATGTTTTTTAACTCTAAATCCCTACTGTCTTTTGCTAAGTACTGGACCAATTCGGCCATTTAATGCATGCTTTGCTTTAGGCCTCCAGGCCCAAGTCCATCATACTCCATCAATATTTAGTCAAACCAGGCCTGCATGACCAAGTCCCCAAAAATCCACCAAGATGGGGAATGGATTTTGATGGAGTTGGGGAAGTTAGGGTTAATAATCACCCTCAACAATTTAAAACCCTGGATTAGCCATGATTGCTTATCATGTCAGGACTTGAATGTATTTTCCAGGTTCAATTTATCCCGTGCTAAGGCAAAAAAAAAAGTCTCCGGTTTCTGGTATGGAGCTTGCCCCAAAAGTGGTGCGGCGACGCGGCTTTTTTTTCCTTTTTCTTTTTCCTTCAAATGTGGGCTGCTGACTACAAATATATAGAGGCCACATAAAGCTTATACATGGACTCGATCGTAATCCCACACGTTAAAATTGTGCAGCAGCAGGATTCCAGTCAAACCAGTGAGTTTGGCGGTTCTGAGACATCATCTTACATTGAAAAAAAAAACTTTTTAATTTTGCCGACGCGCATGGCTACGGCGACGCGCGCGCATACCAGAAACCGGAGACTTTTTTTTTGGCCTAATCATGCACTTGTCATTTTTCCAGGTTCAATGGTTCCATGCTAGTAAGGATTTGACATGGCTTGACTGTGTTTTCCAGGTTCAATGGTTCCCGTGCTAATCAAGGATTTGACATGACTCAATTGTATTTCCCAGGTTCAATGGTTCCCGTGCTATTCTATCAGGACCAGCTGGGGGAGTGGTAGGCTATGCTGTCACGACGTACAAGAGAGAAACAGATCTGCCTGTCATAGGATTTGACATGGGAGGTAGGTTACCAACCGATAGCAATGGTTGATGATATTTTTCTCTCCCAAATCCCATGCTCGTGAAACTTTTTCGTCGCGTGCCTGGCAGAAGGGCGTATACGCTTACGCCCGTTTGTTTTGGATATCCAAATATTCGGACAAATGCAGTTTGGAGTAATCCAATTCTAAATTATTTGAAAATGGACAACCCTAGCTTGCCTTGTCTTGATACTTTTCAGGAACATCGACCGATGTCAGCCGCTATGCTGGGGAATATGAGCATGTCTTTGAGACAACCACGGCAGGGGTGACAATCCAAGCACCACAGGTAATTAAAGTTAAACTCTTCCCTTACTATCTGCTCCGTTCACAAGTACCCCCTCACCGGCAAAGAGAGTACAGTTGGGGTTGACCGACCGACGCCATCTTGCCTGACTGCAATTCATTTGTTGTGAAGTGCGGCCACTGCGTGTACATAGTACAAATCCCCTGGTGTACGTGCGTCACACACAAGGAACTGTACGCGTCAACCAGCGAAATGTCCCGCACATGGGACGTCGTTGCTAAGTAGAAGGGCGCCCTCTTCGTCGGCGCACGAAGCTCATGGGCGAATACTGGTTCCCTCACTTATGTGCCAAAGTACGCAGACTGAATATGCACCAACGTGTAGTGTCTTCGTGTGGGCAACAGCGTTCAAGTCTCCTGGTGGTCTCCCCCAATTCCCTTTGTAACTCTTGAATATTTGAGTACGCAGTCCATAGAAAGTTTGACAATCCCACTCTCTTTGTTTCAGCTGGATATCAACACGGTGGCAGCCGGTGGAGGTTCGCGGCTTTTCTTCCGCTCTGGACTGTTTGTGGTCGGTCCAGAATCGGCCGGGGCACACCCTGGACCCGCCTGCTATCGCAAAGGTTGGTGGTCATGGAATTTTTCATTGGTTGTACCATGAACAAAATGTTGGCCCCATCGAGTATTTTGCATTAAAAAGTAATGCAATCAAAATCATCACATGTCGGGGAAAAGTCACAACACTAATATAATCTCATTGTCAATTATGGTGCAACAGGCAACAGTCATCTGAGTCTGACAAATTTCTTAAAAATACTTGCATGAGCAACAAAAGTTGCAACATGTAGGATATAATACTAGGATTGGAATCGGCAACCTCTGGATCACCATACAGAATCTCTATTGATAACATTGTTATAATCTGTTGACCAAAGGATTAGTGCAAATTTATTATTTATTAATAGGTCCTGTTATAAACAAGTCAGATGAAGCTATCGGCTTCGATAACGCACATGTATAGAATACAAACGCAGATATGCAAAGAGCCGTACAAAAGTCGTACAAAGTTTTGAGATTTCCATAGGTTTGTGCACAAACATGGATGCGCCCAGCACGCATCACTTTGTACATCGAGTCAGCGCTCTGGTAATTTAATATAGCTCTATGGCACACCTCTCAAATAATAAAAGATCTTGTCGTCCCCTTTAATTTGATACCACATTTCAGGTTATGATGCTTGTAGTTCTGAAGATTTGATAAATTTTCCACTTGTCAGCCATGTCAACGTTTGTGGGGAATGACCCATGGTCATCTTTTCGTAGACTATTGCAAAAGTAAAGATTTGCAAAACTGAAAACAGCGCTCTGGTTTAAGTATCGTATACATTTTTATCTTCATGTAGGTGGACCCCTGTGTGTGACAGATGCTAACCTTGTCTTGGGTCGTCTGCGTCCAGAGTTCTTCCCAAGTATATTTGGCAAGACAGAGGACCAACCATTGGACATGGAGGCGTCTGTCAATGCATTCATGAAACTCACTCAGGAGGTAAAATATTGTTTGTTAAAATTTATTTACTACGTAGGCTCGTACAAAAAACTGAACAATTTAGAACATTACCTACCTGAAGGACAAATCAGCTGCCCAGTGCAAACTTCAGTGAAGAGCACTGAGCTATATTAAAGTTACATTACCTGTCTTAATTTTGTACAAAAAAATTGTGTAGTGACAGCATCCTCCTCATTCACTCAAAAATATGGCCAATTGTCTTTTCCGTTTAAAGGTGAACGAGTTCTTGGCCTCCCAGCCGGAGGGAACCAAGAAAGATCCAATGAGCATGGAGGAGGTTGCCATGGGATTCATTAACGTTGCCAACGAGACCATGTGTCGACCAATCAGAGCTCTGACTCAGGTAATTATATCTCTGGCTTATTATCACTCTATTAAGCAAGTCTCGTAAAGCTGCTCCCTAATCAGTGTAAGTCACAAGGGGAGTCAGTCAGTCAGCCAAGCTCAAAGAAGATACTAGGCTTGCCTCGGGGACCAGCACACACTGTTTATATCTTGTTGGCAAAAATATCACAAAATAAGAAACAAAACATTTTTTTGAATCTCTAGAATCATGTAGAGCACAATTACAAAAATGAACGGCAGCTGTTCTGTACATGATGAGTTTTAAAAAAACCGAAACCCAAATGTCGGGACTATTATTTTATTGAAGTTCTGCATGTAGCACTTTCAAAATCTAGTTTATGAAAGCCCATTTCGTAAGCTTTCTTTTAGTACAAGAATCATTCAAATCCCTCATGTACTTTTCAAGTTACGGAATTTTAAACACAACCACCGTTTTAAGGTTCTGTCCACGGATCACCAAATAGGTGTGCCTTCTTTCAGCAAAACGAAAACAATTCACACGCATCCCTATGTGATTTGTTTTCGTTTTGCTGAAAGAACACTTTAACCTTCTTGTGTTCCGAGGACAGAACTTTAAAACGTTGGTTGTGTTTAAAAGTCCGTAACTTGAAAAAACCATAAGTGATTTGAATGATTCTTGTACTGAAAGAAAGCTTATGAATTGGGCTTTTATAACCTAGATTTTGAGAATGCTACATGCAGAACTTCCTTAAAACAATGGTCCCAACATTTGGGTTTCATTTTTTTTTTTACTCACCCCGTACTTTACAAGGTTAAGTCTTTGCCCAAGAGGCCCAATATCTCAGGTCAGTTGTTATTGTGTCTCTTCAGGCCAAGGGGCACGACACCTCGCGCCATGTGCTAGCCTGCTTTGGCGGCGCAGGAGGCCAGCACGCTTGTGACATAGCCAGGTCATTGGGCATGTCAACTGTCTTCATTCACAGGTCAGTTGTACCCTTCCTCCCTGTTCTCTGAACGCACTGAAAAAAGTTGAAGGTTTTCATGGTTTACTCATGTGAGGCACTCCAGGTGACCTGAAACCGAGGGAGTGTTCCAGTCATGCGAACGTGTTTGTGTTCACAAGCTAGGACTTGCAAATGTGACAACCGCAAATGGAACGATAATGTCATAGAAAAAGTGTTGTCAAAATGAACTTACTGGGAGGGTACAAAATGCAGACTCTTATCTCCGACAGGATCATTACGTTCACTGTTCGTGTGTTGGCCATATCGAAAAACATAGTAAACGGCTCAGGAAGACTGTTCGCCTTTGTTGGTTAAGGTAGAGTATATCATTTGCAGCTATCCAAAAAGTAACTGACAAAATTATTGTGAAAAGCATACTTGGTTTAAAAATAGTAATGGCACTAAATCTCCATGTGAAATTATTCTTTCTGGCATGCTGTCGTTTTGAAGAAAACAATAAAAGAATGTCATTTCGAAAGATGCGTCTTTAGACGCATTTTTGGAAATTAGTAGTTCATTTTTAATTCGGCGATGCCCTGAATGAGTGCGCTCAAGCGTTGACACGATGCACACGTGCGCACGGTTGCTGTACTTCGTCAGTTCAGTTTGTGACGTCGCGTAGCTGCAATCAGCTGAATGAGAACGTGTCCTGGACGCTGATTTTGGTCGCAATTCAAAACATGACTCGGCAACTTTTGAATTGAAATTGAGAACCTAGAATATTGTTTCTTGGAATATACAGCATTCACTGAGCTGTTACTTCATCAGGTTAGTTGTTCAGCACCCTTCTTTAGGTTTTTAGCACTTTTGTTGCTTTTTAACGAAAAAGCAATGCACAAATGATATACCCTACCTTTAAAGGGAATGTACCACATTTGCTTTTGCTGCAATTTTCAGAAATAAATGGATTTGGAGGATTAGTATGTTATAGCAAATATTGTTAAAATGACTTGTTTCACGATTTGGGCTTGTAGATGCTGAAAAACCAAGAAAACCAATCATGTTCTTGTAGTCTGGTTCCCTGACCCCACTTAAGATGAAACAGAGCAATTTATAAACTTTGCGGAATTGTAAGGTCAGAGAATCAGTCTAGCAGGCTTGTACCCCTTCACAGGTGTGTAATCAATTGCAAAGAAAACGCGAATTAACTAATTATGAAAAATTAGGAGCACTTTTTGAAAAAAGCCAGTTTTCTCCAACGCTGGTCGGCCGACCAGCGTTGGAAAAATCCCATTTTTCTTGAAAATGACAGCACACCAGGAGCCACGATTTTACAGAATGTTTTAGACTGTCATTCCCTAACAATCCAGTACGGTATTTTGTGATAATTCGATCGTTTCGTTTTGTGATGTTTGCAAATGTTGTATCTTCCCTTTAACGTTATTATTTGAGATTTGCTCACATATACACTGTGTTATTTTTGCCGTAGGTACTCTGGTATTCTGTCGGCCTATGGTATGGCCTTAGCTGATGTAGTACATGAGGCCCAGGAACCCTGTGCATTGCGATACGAACCCAGCTCCCTGGCTAAAATTGACGACCGGATCGACGAGCTAACCAGGCAGTGTGTACAAGAACTACAGGCTCAGGGATTTGCAAGGTAAGAACAGGGGCTGAAGTCGTGAAACTTCTAAGAGTACAGACCAGTAAATAAATTCACTTGCCACCAGTGATAAATACCCCTAATTAAAAAAAATCAGGAAACTGCTTGCAACTCTCACAGGCAACATGAAATTAAAGCTTGATTTACCTTTTATTTTCTGTTCAATTTTTTTGGTGGTTAACCGATCACTTTTGGTTGATTTTTCCCTCCAAAGATGATCACCCCTAAAAACAGTTCTGAAGCCCACTGCCATTGTGAAACAAGATCCCCAATCCCATTGCAAAGAACAATTAATGGAGAAAAAAAATGCTGTTTTGTAAAAAACACAACACATTACAAAACAATAAAGTCATTTATAAAGCGCTCTTACTCATAAATGGTTTCACAGTGCTGAACAGTAACTAGAAATAATCTGGAAACATGAATCAAGTATCAAATAAATATTTTTGAAGAGTCTTCCTGTACGCATCCAAGGAAGGATGTTCTGGGCACATGAAGCAGAATCACGTTCAATCTTGAGCGGCAAATACAAAAGTGCTTAACAGTTTCACTGTAAGGTACACAAGAAAGCGCTTACTCTTTTAGTGGTGTGACTTTATGTCAATTTTTGTTTGTACCTGATGCAGATCCCAGATTGAAACGGAGCCCTATCTGCACCTGCGCTACGATAGAACGGATTGCGCCCTCATGTGTTCAGCTGCTGACTACCCGGCCAGTCAGACTACGTGCCGCCATGGGGATTTTGAGTTAGCATTCAACTCAAGGTAATGGGCTTTATTCTAAAATGAATGAGGGCGCTCTAAAACATGCACGCAAGTGCGTGTGACGCCCTCGGCTGGCCAGTGTGGCATTTGAGTGGTGCACATGTTGTTGTCCATGGGCGGAGCCTAACAGATCGGCCTTTTGTTCCCTCTAAAGGTACAAGCGAGAGTTTGGCTTCACCATCCCGGGCCGGCCAATCGTTGTAGACGACATCAGAGTACGCGGTGTCGGTAAGACGGACATGGTGGACGACAGACATCTCAGGCCAAGCAACCAGAAGCCCAAGTTTCAAGTGGTAAGTGGAGACTAAGTGGCGTGTTTACACTAAAGCCACGAACAAATGCAATATCTGGAAAACATTAGTACTGAGATGACGTTACACTTTGCTCACACATGTGCTTTTTCGTATGGAAACCAGGGGTGTGTTCCACGTAACGCCACCGATGCTTACAGTTCGCAAACTTGGCAGCGTTTGCACAAGTGGCACTGACTGTTTTATCACTGCTATTGAAATTTCCTTGTTAGGGAAATTAGGACCAAGTTATGGGGACTTTTTTACTGTCCCCACAGTGTCTTCAATCCTCATGATAAAGTATCGCCCATTAAGTGTGTAGCGCCCACAATTTTAGAACAAGTATATGTGTTCATGAGATGTTCACCTGTTAAGCGGGCACTGCGAAGCAGGCGTTTTTCCCCTGAAGTGGGTGACTTGCCCGTGAAAGTGGGCGACAGGGGGCAAAGCCGCCTCTCTCCCTGCAAAGTGGGTGACATGCGGCGAAGCTGCCTATCCCGCGAAGTTGGCGAGGCAAAGCCTCGTTACACCTATTGGGTCTTCTTAACTTCAGATTTATCTCTGTCTTTGTCTTTTAAAAAAATTTAATTCCCTTGATTTCTGAGAATAGGACTGCTCTTCTGGCATTGTGTAAAGTTTCGTGAAATCGGCTACAGAAGGCCATGAATCCCAGAAATATACGTGAAAAAAAGTCTGAGACGATAGCAACCAAGCTCTACAACTCAGTGTTTTATTGTGTTATCTAAATTGCGTGTTCCTAAATTGCATGCTTCCTACATTTCTATCTCTTTCCTTCCAAAAATCCTTATCAAGGTGACGAAGTGTTACTTTGACGTCAAGTATTGGGACACCAAGCTCTATCTCCTGGAGGACCTGTCATCTGACCATACCATTGAAGGCCCCGCCATCTTGATTGAGAAGAACAGCACCATAGTTGTGGAGCCCAACTGCCAGGCACGAATAACCGAACATGGTGACATCAAAATCCAGGTAAGTTGAAAAATATTTATCCGTTGCTTAACCCTAAACTCCCTAGGCATTTTTGCTAGGATTCAACCTCAATCCTGCAAAATCCTCCAACTGCCTCCATGTAAAAATTGCATACAGCTCAATCCTCCAAAATAATCCGTTATTTCTTGAATGTGGTCTTTGGAGGGGAGACCACTGCCTCAATCCTGCAAATCCTCAGGCAATCACTGTCAATATGTTGAGGCAGAGCCAATGACATTCTGGAGCAGTGCGCAGGATTTCAAGTATAATATAGTCCTAAATTTACGCACGGCTGAGCATAAACAACACAAGGTCCGGCCCAAGACCTTGACACAGTGCATCCTCCAAAATCAGCAACGCACTTTTGCCATATAGCAGACCTGCCAACTCTCCCGGATTTTGCGGAAGACTCCCGAAAATCGGTCGATCTTCCGACTCCCGGCACATCTTAAAAATCTCCCGGATTGTCACTTTGTGCGTACAATTTTTTTTACTTACTGTATTTTTTAATTGCAACAGGGTGAGTTTTAATCAAAGTCAGCATAAGAATAATTTGTCTTTAATGTCTCCACTTTTCTTAAACTGAAAATTACGTGCATAAAATGTAAATATAGGCTAACATGTAGCATGCACACATTGGAAGAATTAGACTCCTTACATGTCTAATCCATTTCCCTGCGCTTTGCAGCGTGGAGGAGCACCGATCAGTAATGCACATTTCAAATGTCGATAGTTTATGTTGTGGTGGTTAGGATTCTCAGGCATACAGTGGGTCTGGAATCAAGTCTACACAACTGGTAAACTGCAAGAGTATGTACTTTCAAAGGTTTAAAACGTTTACCAGTGAATAGTCTGTCACCAGCGAATTGTTGCAGACATCGCACTTGTCAGATGGATACCATACGGTTGTCACACGCACACCGTGGGACCAGTGTAGTGTGAATGTCCAACCATGGGGAAATGTGGTCTCAGTGGAAGTATTGCGGATGCGATATATGATAACAGGGGGAGCGACTGGTCTCATGAAAGAGATCAACCAATAGGAAAACGGAGTCCAATTTTTAAAGGAGTCGGTTTGTCATGAGACACCGGAACGCAGTTGTTTTTGTACACATGTCACAGTAGACTGGTGCGATAAAAAATGGCGACGAAAAACCTGACGAAAGTGAAGAAGTATCTTCACAAATACAGAGAGGAGTATAGCAAAGAATTTTTAAACCTTTAATTTTCGCTTTAAACTTCACAAAAACATTCACTACATAGAAATTACTGCCTCTCAGACCTAACAAAAAGTGAAATCTCTCGCTTTCCATATTGCTATCTTACTTTTTAAGTTTGACACTTTGTTACCTTTTTTCTGTACTAGTTGAAAAACATTTGCAGGCATAGCCGTCGCAGTAATCCTCACAGACTAACTCATGCAATACAGGGTGAGTCAAAAAGGCGAAACCCAAATGTTGGGAATATTGTTTTAGTGCAGTTCTGCATGTAGCACTTTCAAAATCTAGGATATGAAAGCCCAATTCATAAACTTTCTTTTAGTACAAGAATCATTCAAATCACTCATGTACTTTTCAAGTTACAGAATTTTTAAACACGAAGTGTGCATTCTTTCAGCAAAACGAAAAACAATTCACACAAATCCCCATGATGTGATTTGTTTTTGTTTTGCTGAAAGAAAACTTAACTTTTTGTGATCCGTGGACAGAACTTTAAAACGGTGGTTGTGTTTAAAATTCCGTAACTTGAAAAGTACATGAGTGATTGTAATGATAAAAGAAAGCTTATGAATTTGGCTTTCATATCTTAGATTTTGAAAGTGCTACATGCAGAACTTTACTAAAACAATGGTCCCGACATTTGGGTTTCGTTTTTTTTACTCACCCTGTAGAATAAATTCACAAGGCACATAACCAAAAAAAAAAATAGCTGCTTAGGCCAAAAAAACAAATATTCGGTCTCTGGTCAGACCAAAGTTCCGGAATTGACGCGGCCACGCGGCTTTTTTTTTTTTTTTTTTTTTTTTTTTTTTTTTTTTTTCTTCAAGCTTGGATTATACAGACAAGGTGGGGTACTATTTTGCTTTTTTGGTGTCCTCATGTACATTGGTGTCCTCCATAATTTGCCTTGGTGCTTTCAATCATTTGCCTTGTGCAAATTCCCATTCCTTGGTGCTCTTTGGTAAACAAATTGAGGAGGTGCGGAAATAGAGGGCGCTGTTGGAGCTACCGCAGAACATTTTGGAATAAAAAAAGATCGACGCGCATGATTAAAATCAACGCGCGCTGACCAGAGACCGACTTATTTTTTTTTTTTGGCCTTACCACACTGACTTCAATCTGGTAAATTCTAGTAAATGACTGCATCAATATTAAAAAAAGAAGAACATTTTATATAAATCGACATATTACATGAAGGGAACGCTCGACAAAACAGAGAAAACTTCCATCTTAGAACGGAATCTATCTAAGGTGGTAAGGGCTCAAGCTCAAAAACTCATCAATGTTACTGCTGCTTTGCTAAATTATCGCATTCAATAATGAGATGCATGTATTAGAGGTAAATTGTTTGTTAAATCTATTACATTGTAGGGAAAAAAACAAATCCAGGGCTAATTTCATGGTGCTGCAATAACAGTTAGCAGAACAGTTGTGCTTACTACTTAAAAACTTGTGCTTGCCTTAAACACCTTTTCATGACGTGGATGTGCTAACAGATGCGCGTTCATGGATATTTCTATTGTTACATCACTAATTGAAGCAACGCTTTCCGCTGACGAAAAGGTGCCTTTTGCTGTGCTTTCGGTCTCCATGAAATAGACAAATGCCCTGTTAGCAGAAAATCATGTGCTAGCGCTGCTATTGAAGCAGACGATCAAATTCATAGCGCTGCTAAGCATGCCATTCTCTGCTAACAGAGCCTATGTCTATTTCATGCAGACCGTAAGCATCAGTAAGCACACAAAAGCCACACTTACCTCAGAGGAAAAAGTTGCTTAAATCATTGAGGTAAAAGAAATCTCCATGCGCGCTCAACCGTACATCCATGCCGTGAAATAGTGCTTATGGTTAGCTCAATTTTCTGCTATTGTCAGCACAACTTTTTTGGCAACGCTATGAAATAAGGCATGGAAACGAAGACATTTGTACCGTTAGTGAAGTAACTTTACCTACATACAATGTCATAACCCTACTTAAATTCCAAAATGAGATGTTAAAATAAGTGACACAAATCCTTCAAAAAGTTATATATACACCTATAATAAAATAATTTAAAAAATTAAAAATTAAATTAAAAAAACCTGATTCCCTTCACTGTAATCGTACAGTTTTATAGGGCCAATGATTTTCCGTTTCAGAAAAGTGCAATTTCCGTTTTCAAAAATCCTGAATTCCGTTTCAGGCTGAAAAATTCCGTTTCACATTTATTCAATACATAAAAAGGCATTTAAACATATACCATGTACACAGAAAATAATTCCAAGACGATAATGAAATAGTCGTTTGGTTGGAGCGCGGGAAAACTGCCCCAAAAAGATTTCTATTTTATCAAAGGCCGATCAATGTACAGACATAGTATTTAACTTCCCCACAGTCAAGTCGTATACTGCACTGCCACTGCCACACACGTAAGAAACATGCAATAGCCATACAGGCAAAACTTGTTGGTTTAGAATATTGTGTCATTTTATATCAGGAATATCTCAAAACTGTAGGGTGTGTATTTACAGGTAGAAAAAAAATTTACGATTGAAAAAAAATATGAGTACCTGTCTCCCGGGTACCCGTAAAATAAACCCAACCCAAAATTTAAATCTCGGAAGTTGCTGTACTGATTGTACATAAAGATCCGCACGATAATACTACCACACCTGCGTCATTACAGCAAGATACTTTTGTACAGCAAGCTCAATACAAGGTGCAAATGGACTGATCCAGTAAGCTCCGCCCAGTGCGTGCACGTGGGTAAATTAACACGTGCTCTTCTCCAATGCCACGCTGCATTTTCCTGCCGCGCGCATCATACGCGCGTGCACGCATGTCGGACTTTTGTGCACGCATGTCGGACATAAATCACGGCTGTGATTGGTCAGAACACCATGGGGCGGTGCTTACTGGATCGGTCCATTGTATTTTTCACAAGCGTCACAAACATCAATCTGTTGGTTTTTTTTATGCAACCTGACATTCAAAATCTTCTTTTTTCATTGTTGAAGAATTACTCAAATAGTAGGTTACCGGTACTCAATTCCATCCATAATAAGGAGCCGGATGGGAATTTTCCCGTGTTTTCTCCCAAAAGGGTTTTTCTTGGGGTTTTCGCCCCTCCCGTAATCAGCGAATATAGTTACAGCGATATATTTTGTTCTTGATGTTACAAGATACATGTAGATCCAAATTTTTTGTGTTCACTGAATCCACCTTATAGTAAAGCCTTCACACTGTACATGTAGTTATAATAGATTTAAAATATATTGTACTTACAATATTTGCTTAACAACTATGCATTTTAATCAAATAATGTTTTATACCATTGTATTGAATTGTATTGTATTTGTAATGTGTTGTATATACATGTACATGTTTGTAGTCATTATTTATTGTATGCAGGGCCCCCAATGGAAACCAGTTTTAAACTGTTTGGGCATACCCTGGGTAAATCAATCAATCAATCAATCAATCAAATTGAAAATCAAAATCAAAATCCAAAATCCAAAATCCAATCAATCAAAATCATTGGGAACCAGTTCCTGACATCAGCGGTCAGGAACTCCGGTACCCAGATACCCCGGTACCCGGATACCCCTATACCCTAATACCTGTGTACCCGGATACCCCAGTACCCGGATACCCCTTTACCCTGATACCTGTGTACCCGGGTACCCAGATACCCTAGTACCCAGATACCCCAGTACCCAGATACCCCTATACCCTGATAACTGTGTACCCGGATACCCTGGTACCCAGATACCCTGGTACCCAGATACCCCAGTACCCGGA